CTTGTGTCTGTGCATGTGCTTCTACTGGCTGCTATCGTGGATGGCGTCTGTGGTTCTTTCACCACCATTATGGCGCTGACAATGTCGTATGCCTCCGACTGCACCATCCCATCGAAGCGGAGTGCAGCATTCGGGTATGTATACGGCTCTCTTTTCGCTGGAACCGCAGCTGGGCCTCTGCTGGCGGCTATCTTGATTAAGAAAACAGGCCAGGCACTGAGTACCTTTGAGGCCTCGTTGGCCCTGAATGTTCTCTACCTCATTGCAGTCATGACCATCATCCCGGAATCATTATCGACAGACCAGCAGCGGCAAGCGCGGGACAGTCATCGAAGAAAAGTCATCGATGAAGGGGAGGCAGGCTGGCTGAGCCTGGAGAACCTCAACCCCAAACGGCTAATTACACCTTTGGCTGTTTTGCTGCCGCCAGTAGGACGTCCCAGCACGCTTTTCCCCAATCGTCACGGCGCGACCCCGGCTTTGCGCAGGAATATCATTCTTCTTACAGCGATGGATACCATTGCATTCGGGGTAGCGTTGGGAACCGCTCAAGTGATCATCATGTATGCCGAGTACAAATTTGACTGGGGCAACGTGGAATCAAGCCTCTTCATATCGATTATAAGCATCGCCCGGGTCGTCAACCTTTTTGTTGTATATCCGATCATCATCGCAATCTTTCGTGAACCACAGAAACCAGATCACATCGTTTCCGGCTCCAGCACCTGCGAGATTGTTATTATACGACTTTCGCTTTTCCTAGACATGGTTGGCTATGTGGGTTTTGCAATGTCATATCAGGGTTCTATAATGGTATTCTCGGGGATCGTCATGGCACTTGGCGGTATGGGGATACCGACAATGCAATCATCTCTCACGAAACATGTCCCTCGTGAACGGTTAGGTCAGATCCTTGGCACGAAAGGACTCTTGCATGCTTTGGTTCGAGTGATCTCTCCAACCGCTTGCAGCCTCCTTTACAGCCTAACGGTTGGAAAGTTCACTCCAGCGATATTTGTTGTCCTGGGGGCCTTGTTCTTGCTCACCGTCTGTGCCAGCTTTTTCATTAAACCACATGGTATGTGACCTACCTACCTCATTGTCTAGGAATGTCTGCTAACGACTCTGTACTTGGCAGTTACTCTTGATGACTCTTACCCAAATAGTCCTCGAGGTGAGGCTGATGACGAAGGCTTTGTGGCGGATTCCATTCTCTAGTGATGCTAGAAGGGGAGCCCAGCAGTTACTATACTACACGCGACCGCAGATTTGGGTCTTGATTAGACTGATCTTCGTGACTATTGGCGTATAGAGTTGTTCAATTATATATGTGATTATTAGATACCGGTTTATACATTCGATAGGATTCGTCAAAGGACCACTGTAGCATGATCCCATGGACTAGTTGTCAGAGAATAAGGTAGTAGTCTGAGGAAAGGCCGGGTAACTAGTTAACTAACACAAGGATGTTAGTAAGACGAGTGGGCACACCGGGAAAAGACCGGATGCGGTACGGCGGGCGGTAGCGACCAACTCGACCAAGCTGGTGCAAACTTTCCGACCGACAAGCTCCGAATCCCTCCTACTCTATCATAGAACTCCAATTGTCTCAATTGACCAGCCGGCGCGGGGTTCCTGACGGTCCCTCTGTCATTGAATCCTCGTAGCCTTCTTTTTCACTTAATGATTTAGTGGTGATCCGGCCCAGCCCGCTGTCAGCGGTGCGCAAGGTTAACCACCATGGTCTCCAAACCCACCAGCGGCACACCAGCTGTGCCATCACGAAATGCTCTACGAGTCCTCCGTCGATTAGCTCTTGCAGGATCGACTGTGGGAAGCTTTTGCACGGTTGCAGCCATTACCTACGACGTCCATCGTCGGGTGCGCGTTGCGGAACGAATTGTCGAAAACAAGCGGGCCTTGCAAACCTCAGCCCCGAACTACGATGCAACATCTGCAGCAAGGAGACTAGCACGTATGATGGAGGCGGCTGAGGCAGGAGAGTTTATGGGCTTGGAATCACTAAAGGAGCAAGATCGGAAGTTCAGAGAAGCGCAAGCTGTCCCGGCTGGAGTGGACGTTCATGGTGACGACTTGAGCTGGGATGTCCAGCTGCAAGACCAACAACCTTCTGCCCCTGCGGAGACTTATATGGATACTGCACGCTCTAAATTGATTGACACCTTTACCCCCGGACAAGTACCAGCCAATACGACCTCAGCTCCCAATCTCCCTCCGAACCTAACACGATCGACTGATGCACTGGACCGAGCAAAATCCGCCCTTGCCAATGCGAAACAAAGAACAACCGAAGGTCATGAGAAACAAACAGAAGATGTAGCTCAATGGCATGATTCAATCACAGAAGAAATGCAAAAGTTTCTTGACCACGGTCGCCCTATTGATGCCGCCCACTTGTTTTTGGACGCCCACCCCGCGACGTTGAACGGCATATCTACAGATAGACGGGAGGTTACAGTCAAGACATTTTATGCGAATTGCAGAGAAGAAAACGTCATGGTTGCGAGGAATATTTTTGAACGCCTAGAAGACGTGGACAAAGTGTCTCCTAGCATGTGGAAAGTTTTGATGTTCGCGCTAGCGAGAAAGGGGAGCATCGAATCCGTCGCCACTATATTTACCCGATACATGCACAAATTCAAAGTGCCCCCGGAAATGGTTGATATTGTGCTCCGATGTCTGCTAGAGTCTCATCGACTTACCACGGCGAAATGGTTTCTTCTACGAAACCTCGAGGTTGACCGTGGCTGCGGCTTATGCGGCGCCTATCTCGCCGGGCTTTGGAAGAAAACAAGGAGTATCGAGCTTTTGAACGGGCAATTGAAGAAGATCCTAACTATCCTTCCACGCTTGGGGAAGGAACCCACCGACAAGCTCTTTAACCCCGTGATCAAAGCATACGTGGAATTCGGTCGGCTGGCTGATGCGGAAGCACTGGTTAAAGACATGACGACTAGATACGGCATTCCACTTCGCTGCCGAACAAAGGGTCTTTTGGTATTTGGAAGGGCTCTGGCCTGTGACTGGGAGGGTGTGGACGCTGGGTTACAGCAGATGCATGAGCTTAAGTTGACCTCGAGGAAGTATGACTTTACGCCGATATTTGACCGCATCTTCCTCGAATACTGGGTATCACATTCCGGTGAAGAGATCCGCGAGTTTGTCTACCGTTATATCGAGAAGTTCCAGATGGTTCCCGACAAAATTCTTTACAAGCACATTTTGGAGGCATTCGTGGAAAAGGGTAATAAAGAAATGGTTGACGAATTTGTGCGGTTCGCACGTGAGCGCCGTTGGCCGAACTTCATCAATGAGCAGGAATTCTTGGAAATGCTCCGAAAACGTCGACACGCTCTTGAGGAAGCACCAGTGGGATTCTGGCAGATGCTGCAGGCAGCTCGGGCGAAGTATGGACAAGCTGCCACATCGCAGCAAGTGCTTGGATATGATCAGCGGTCGTTCCCACTTGCCGAAGTCAACCTGATGCCGTACACGCAGGACCCGTTACCGTGGTACCAACGAACGCTGCAACACATGACTCCCTCGAGGCCAGTTGACCAATACCAAAAGCTCCACAAGCAGATGTCTCATTACATGCATGTCGGTAAGCTGACGGAGGCGTTGAAATGCTTTGAAAATGCCAAAAACGCGCGGTTCCAATTCAAGCAGTTGCATGTTGAACTCGCAGTCATCTGCACTCTGCTTGAAGAGGGTGTCGGTGCTGCTCGTGCTTTGATCGATTCCGAGTGGAAGAATATTCGCCACTTGGTTCGCTTCTTCCCTCAGTTCTTCCGCCAGATCATGGAGGTCGACTCTGAGGCTGAAGGCCAGCTGATCAATATGGCCGTGCTTCGCTTCTATGAGCTGTGCTGGTCAAACAAGAAGATGACAGTCAAGCACCACATCACGGTAGCGACCAGCAGAAGGCTGATCGCAGTGAAGAAGCCTGAGTTGGCCGTTGATCTGCTGGCCACTGTCTACATGTCCCGCTTCCGGCACTCGTTGGCATATGATGGTGTCTGCATGAAAATGTTCATACGTGCGTTTGCCGCGACTGGTAATCTGCATGGCATGCGGTGGTGCATCTTGACTGCTCTGGCCCGAGGAAGCGCACTAAACCGTGACTTTGTCATCGAAGCCCGCCGGGTCACTGGAAACCTGCAACGTCAGCTAAGCTCGGCCGAAGGATCTAAGGATGCGTCACGGGACATGGAGAAGATCGAGTATCTGACGCATGCCGTTGAACTGCTGGAGAAGAAGAGCCAGGGCGATCCCCAGCTTTGGCAGCTCAAGACCAACCCGACGGTGAAAAAGGCCGGTCGCCGGCTACTAAAGCGCCCTCTCGATGAACGGCGTCTGTACAAGAAGGCCCATCTTCAGGAGACAATTGAGGGCTGGGATGAGGAATATGAGTTGGAGGCCGTGCTGGGCCGTATTGACATTGACCCGAAGTCGATTGCGCTTCGATGGAGCGAGAAGCACTGTCTGGGGCAGATTCGTGACATTGATGATCTGCTGTGAATTCGGGATGGCAATTGTTCTATATCACTTCCACTATTGTTGTATTATGTTTGTATTTCCGGCTGTGTGCTTGTGTATATATCCCATGCTGCCATATTCAATACTGTGTATAACTACTTGTGATTTTAATCTGCAATTGGATTTATATGTATTATCCTGCAGAGTTCAAGTGCAGTTTGCATTTAAGAGCATCTCAAATGTACAATCTTGCAATCAATCATCATTCCTATGGTAGTATATTCTCAAAGACACTTCTGCATAGACTCACCGAGACCGTCAGGAACAGTCAACGCGCGTGGTTCAGTAATAATTACCATTGTGTGTGGACTAATTATAGATACAAGCCCTGTTTCACTTTCTCTTGGCTTCGTATTCGACATGAGTTGCTGTCCACCATCCCAGGATAAAAATAGCTTCAGAATTATGCTAGTATGGAACCCTAGTGGGTCAAAGCTAGATACCAAGTAATCTGGCTCTGAAGCATCCTCTAGTATCTGTGATTCCAGAACCACGCCCTTCCAGTGACACGCTGAACTTCTGATTAATAAAAGCCCGAAAGCTGTTTATTCTGTTCGCCACAACCACCCCCTCCCCCAACCCTTATCATGGCTCAGAACAACTTGACTGGCGCCTGTCTCTGCAGGAACATCACATATCGCATTACCTTGCCAGATCCAGAGACTTACCCAAAGGTACTATTCCCCAATTCAAATATCCACAAACGCACAATCTACTAAGTCCATCACTAACAACTACCAGCTAATCATCTGCCACTGCACCCACTGCAAACGCTACACGGGCTCGAGCTTCTCTGCCAATATTATCATCCCACAGGCTAGTTTCGAGTACACGAAGGGTACACCCAAGCTGTATACGGACAGCAGTAAGAGGGGTGTACAGGTGCTACGCGAGTTCTGTCCAGATTGCGGAACACCGTTCACTTCACGGTCGAGCGATGATGAGGACGTTGTCGCGGTGAAGTCCGGGACGCTTGATGATGAGCATCGGGTTAAATGCTCGGAGTTGGAAATGGAGATATATTATCATCGGAAGGATGGGTGGGTGGATGGGTTGGGGGATGAGGGGGTGAAGAGGGTGGATGGGAGTATGGGGGATTCATAGAGAGAATAAAGATTGTAGGCAAGATGAAGTTACCTTTGCTACTTATTGAGTACGAATTCTGTGTGGTGACTTCTCCTCCCGATAGATTGCTAAGACTGGATTAGAACTATGTGAGATAAGGTACTAATGCACGCGGAAAGCAACGGGCTTGCTGCTCGGGGTGTTTGTCTTCTAATCTTCTTATCTACAAAATATTAGGTGTTGACTATGCTAATGCAGACCATTGGTTACCAGCCTCTGGCTAGTCAATATACCTAGCACTAGCGCTGTTATCAACCCATATACCCATGTCTATGGCGCGAACACAAGGGGGTCAATGGGACTATATCAGCAAATGATGCTGCCTAGCACGTCACACCCTCTCAGCTAGCCATTTGCTCCTCCCACCATCGTTCATCATGGCTGCACCCGAGCTCAAGCAATGGGTAGCTGCAGCTGCCCCATCCGAAAGCAGCCTTGAGCAGCTTCAACATCAATATGCTGGATACTGTCATGCACTTATGCCACACCTGACCGATGCAAAGAAAATCCCAGTGACCCTCTATGAGTTCCTTTCAGGTAAACAAAATACGTCCGAATTTATCCGATTTGTGGACCAAGTCCCTCAGATCAAACAATTATTGCAAAACAAGGATTATTCCTCTACTGTCTGGGCCCCAAGCAACACTGCACTTCAGCGACTGAGCAATGAGCTATCTGAGGAAGATGTTCTGGCTCTCCTTCAAAGACACATCTCGCCATCATTTCTTCCAATATATTTCCTTCTAACAGCCCCAACCATCGACACACTATTCAATCCTGACCAATTGAATGGTGCCCAAAGGATAATAGTCCGTCCTTCACTCAACGGCCTTCGCGTGAACTCCCAAGCAACTGTGATCGAACAAGACCACCTCGTAGCAAACGGTCTGGTCCATCTAATCGACCAGGTTCTTCCACCGCGACCAACCATTGCAGCTTTTCTCGCTGCTCTGCCATCATCCGATTTTGACCTGTTCCAGTCTGCAGTGAAGCAATCTGGAGCTATTCTAAATATTCTGCATGATGAGACTCGTCGCGGCGGAACCGTGTTCATCCCTACCAACGAAGCTTTCCGCAAGCTGCCCGGGGAAGTCCAGACATACCTCTTTAGCGATGAAGGAGCTGCATCTCTTCAGACTCTGTTGAGATATCATGTCATTGCGAATCAATCATTGTACTCCAACCGTTTCTACGATCAGGACTCTGCGCCAGAGCATTTCATACAGACGCCAGAAGCTACGCCCGAACATACGATTCCTACTCCTGAGGATCAGGCGGATCGCTTGTGGCGTGTACTCAAGGGAGTTCGTCGCTTTCCCTTGCCTACGTGCTTGGATGGGCAACATCTAACGGTGGCTGTGACCCGATGTGGGGGCTTGATTTCAATGATGGTCAATGGAATTGCAAATGTGACTGTACAGGATGGCTTGGCCAGTGACGGAGTGTGTCATGTTGTGGACTCAATTCTGTTTCCACCTCTACAGGATGAGGATGCAGAAGTCCAGCCAGTACTTTCTGTTGAAGATGTGAAGTCGAGACTGGCATAGTTTGGCTTTCCATGGCAGCTGCGTCTGATTTTGTTATAAATGTGACTTTATTCTGAGTGTGCCCTAGGTTGTTTCAATCGCATTAATATTTATAACTCTCGAACGCTTACTGCCTTCTTCCTACGCTAATTCACATTGAATAGCTCGTTTATATACTGTGCGTGCCGCTAGTATTTTCTTTGGCAATTGCTACATAATATATCCAGGTCTACAGCCCTCCATCTTGGATGTCTATTCCATAATACTACACGAATCCTGATCTATATTTCCACGTCATTCCACCAAGCAAAGCACCCCCTAATCCCATCACTCCGCAACCTCAACAATCAACTTAGTACAACTCACCCCTCGACTCAACTCATCCAACCCATCATTAACAGCCTGCAACCCGCTCCCAACAGCCCTCAGCTCCGGACTCGGCCTGATATTCCCATTAGCCAGATTCTCCCTCGCCCACGTCCCCATCCAATACCGAAACTGATCCAACCTCTTCGCCTCATCATCCATCGCCGGCATCACAAAGATGACTTCCACCCCATCCACCACCTCCACATCAGAAGGAACAACCGGCGCGGACGCAATCTTCGCTTTCACATCCCCATCCCCATCAACATCCCCCACAAAAGCCCCAACCACAGCCTGACAAATCTGCACATCCCCTACTGCAAGGAAACAATACCGAATCACACAACCATCCTCACTAGCCGTCTTAACAATCTCATCCACGACCCTCGGGTCCCTATGGTCAAACACACGATTTGCACCCAACGACCGCACATACGCATGATTCGCCGCCCCAGAAGTAGCATACACAGCTGCAAACGAAGACCCAGGCTGATCCCGAAGTACTCGGGCAACTTGCACACCCATTGAACCAACGCTAGAGGATGCGCCCCAGACTAACAGTACCTCTCTCTTCTTCCCAGTCTGACCATCAGTTTCATTATTTGTCTTCCTATCAGCTACCAGTTGCAAGCCCATCATCTCCCACGCATTAAGCGCTACCTGCACAGCAACAGGCAACATAGCCGCCTCATTCCACGAGATCATTACCCCCTCATCTGGAAGTGGTATAACATGCTGCCACGGAACAAGACACTTCTCCTGAAAAGCGCCATAGTCCGGATCGCAGCCCTTCCAAACTGAGGCGGAGTAGGCAGCGATGCGGGTGTTTCCTGGATGGAAATATTTGGGGACGTTGGTGCCGACTTCCAGGACTAAACCTGATAGGTCGAAGCCAATGACGGTAGGGTAAGAAGGGATGAAGAGGCCTGTGTCGCGCATGATGGTGTCTGCTGGGTTGAGGGCGATGGATTTGACGGCGATGAGGAGGTCGTTGGGGCCTGGGGTGGGGGTTGGGCGGGTGGTAAGGGTGAGGGGGTCCGATTTGGAGGGGAGGATAGCGGCGAGGTGGGTGGGCATTTTCTTTCGGTGAAGTAGGAGTATGCAAATGATGTTTTGGTGGTGAAGTATGAAGCCTTCAATGGGGAGAAAGTTGTAGTATGTATGGATGGTACAGATGGCAGGTTTCTTGGTGTCTCGAACTAGTTCCGGGTTGTGTGTTTGGGAAGAAGTTGGAAGAAAAATTACTGGGAGTTATCCCTGAGCCACACTCCTCTTTTATATTTGAGCATGTGTATCATGGCATGTCAATCATCTTTAGATGTATTCTGTAGTAGATCCTACAGTAGTGGAGGCAAGCGACAGCCAATCAGCGATGTCTGCATCCGAGTGTGGGTTAAGCGTTGAGATGCAAGATCCGAGACACGGTTTAGCTTATGACTAAATGCAGGTATTGGGGGCCATGACTACCACCCATTCCAAGTCCTTCCAGAATCCAATTTTTCCCAGCCGCCATGGCATCGACTGACCCTTCAGAGGTACAGGGATGCCCTAACAAGACAAAGCGAAGATCACGATTCGGGTGCCGCAATTGCAAGCTGCGGAAACTGAAGGTGGGTGCCCCTAGCACCTCGTAGATAAACCATCCCCACTGATTTATACCAAGTAGTGCGACGAAAGCAAACCACAATGCAAGCGATGTAGTTCATTCGGGGTAGTCTGCAACTTCCTATCATCTACCACCCCCGACCTCCACCCCATTCCCGCTGACTCGCGACGGTCATGGATGGTTCGAGGTACAGCATCAGTGGCAAGCCTGCAGCCCCCTCTTACCAATGCAGTGTGGACCTCAGACGCCTCAACGTTCTATCAATTAAATGCCAGGTGTCAAGACTTCATCACCCGATACCTAGGGCACAGCCTCATCACCCCCAATGATCCCAACATGGGACAAGTAAATCGCAAGCTGCTAGAACTAGCCTTTACCGTAAGTTGACCCCATCCATCACAAGTCCAGTCTTACATACTAACGACCCAATTGTAGCATCCCTACCTAATGCACGCCTCTCTAGCAGTATCACTCACTTACGACCGCCACCTAAACAGCCCGCTCGACAGCCACCGCACTCTAGAAGAATGCTACCACTGGTCGCAAAGCACCATCCTCTTCAACAAGAAGCTCCGCGAACAAATAGAACCCAACGATAGGGATCCCATATGGGGCACAGCAGCCGCGCTAGTAATTCTGACTTTCTCATCACCTAACGCACGTACTCCAGAAGAATCATGGCCACTGAACCCCTCTCCTTCTTCACATTTGGACTGGGTGCATATGAATAAGGGTAAAATGTCCTTGTGGAATATAGTCAATCCGCTGCGATCGGATAGCATCTTTCATGTTATGGCGGGGACATTTGCCCATGTGCATTCGCCGTTGCCACAAGGAGGTGTGGAGGGTATACCTCCTGCTTTGGCTGCGCTGTGTGGTATCATGGATGAGTCTACGGTGGAAACGAATCCGTATTTTCATGCTGCTCATGCAGTAGCGCAGATATTGGAGGTTGAGGATAGTGAGGTCACGATGGGTCCGGTGCAGATGTTTATGCGGTGTATTCAGGGTGGGTTTGAGGGGTTATTGAGGGATAGGGATCCTGTTGCGTTGGTGTTGCTGTACCTGTGGTACAGAAAGGCTGGACGTTGTGTTTGGTGGATTGGGCTGAGGGCGAGGGTGGAGTGTCCTGCTATTCGGATGTATTTGCGGCGGTATCATGGAGGAGATGAGGCTGTGATGGAGTTGCTTCCAGAGGGTGGTAAAACTCCTTGTGGACTATATCCGTACTAAAGGGGGATTGTACGTCTTATATCCTACAGGCAGAATACAATATAACACATAGATCCAAACAAGCCAGACCCTCTTTCAAATTATCATACTACTAGTAGCTATTCCGCACCCTCTACATCAGCCAACACACCGACAGCACTCACTCACCCATCTCATCCCCCATCTTTCTTAAAGACCCCCTTCCTCTTCCACCCTCCAAATCCCTACAAAAATACCAATACTCCAACCAGAACTCCCGCGCAGCACTATAACCCGGAATATATCGTCTCAACAACCCCTTCCACTCTCTATCCTCCTCAGTATCAGGAACCGAAGTGGCGACATATTCCCACCACACAGGAAAATACCCAGCCATCTCCCAACCAATTACCCCAGTAACTGTACCACTCTCCACCATGATATTCCCAATTGTCAGATCCCCATGCGTAAACGTATACGGCATAGCAGACGGCATGCGCTGTCGCAGCCGTACCCTCGCAGCCTCGGGAATCCTCTCATCCAACCCACGCTCCATCTCAGCCCAAAGCTCGTCATCAGATGCAAAGGGGCCGCGGAGAATCTCACCAGAGGAGCTAGAATTATTCTTGAACAGTAAGTTGGAAAATACCGGACGGCCACCGAGACATTGGATTTTATCCGACTGGAGAGTTCGGAGTTGTTGGAGATACTCGGCGACTTGCTTTGCGACGTTCTCTTTTTCCTTGGGGGTTAGTTTTGACCAGTCTTTGCGCAACGGTTCGCCGGGGATACGGCGCATTAAGGTGAGGGTGTGTTTATCTTCTTCCTCCTCCTCCCAGGATTTTATGATAGTGGGGACGGGGATTGAGGTCCGGTCCTGCACGAAGTGAATGTTTGGGACTTCGGGGGTTGGATGGTTGGGACCGTGGTCTTTCAGGATTACCTTTGAGCCGATTGACCAGATGCCTCGGTTGCCTGATTCGTAGAAGACATTGAGGTGGCTTTTGTAGTTGCAGTGGTTTTGGCGTTCGGGGGTCCAGTTGCATGCTGTGCAGGGGGTGGAGCTCATGGTGGGTGGGTGGGTGGGTGGTGGTAAACAATAACAGTTTGATCAGTGTTAGTATGACAATCTCGATGAGAGGAAGGGAAATTTCTTATTATATATAGATCCATGTCACCGATTAGGGACTAAACTTCAACTTCTTGTCTTCTTTTCTCGCCCATTCTTGTATGAAAGAAAATGGAATAAATCTTTGACTATGGAGTGACAAGCTTTCAGTCCAAGTGGATGCATTGAGGGAATCCGGAAATAACCTTAAATAGAAGAAGAAATGATAATAAGGCTTGAAGCTATGTCGTATCAGTAGTAGTTTAGCAGTGTTTAATTCGAGCAGTAACAACTTTAGACGCCTCCAATAGGTGGATACAGCCGCATATGAAGATATTAGCGCAGACATATCAATTCACAATGATACAATGATAACCTCGCATGCTACACATTTTGCTCTTATTATTGGTCGTGCGATATTAACACACCCGTACTGCATGTGAAAAATGGACTTTACCGGATTAGTATAGCTCCAGGATTGTTCTCTGGGCATTAGTTTTGTATTCAAGTTGATTGATATGATATCAGTGTTTTCCCAGACAGGGGTTACGAAGCTGTGATAGGTGGGTTTAGTTGTGATGTTAATGGCATATGAGGGAATATGGCACTAGTGAAGAGCAGTGCATTTAGGTGACAATGAATGCTAGCGCCTAGTCTATTAGTTATTCCCTGATAAGAAAGACACTCCTAATAACAGAAATTAACTGGGGAAACATACGGCCTTTTTATTCCCACTGAGCCCCCTGAGGTAGTAGAACACCAATTCAACGAACATCTAGCCCGAGCATTTTACCTACTGCCCAGCAACACTGTCTCTACACCCATATCCCACAAAATCATCAACAATAGTATCCAAAATGACCACCTTTTCAACCTCCCGCTTCCACCTCCGCCCTGCCAAACCCACTCCCACCGACCACGCCTTCATCCTGTCCGCCTTCGACTCCTCCCTCCCCTTCCTGGCCTCCATCGGCAGTCTCGACCAATGGGGCAAGACCCCCTTCTCCCAGCGAGGGGATTTCGCCGAAGCAACCCTAAAAGAACTGAATTACTCTGAAGAGTTCCGCCTCGCAGGGACTAGCGACCTGGATGGTAATCTTCGTATGTTCATCGCCGAGCGAGAACTACACCAGCAGCAGCAGCACGATGACGGACAGCTTCAAGCTGAGTTCATTCGAGTGACACCCGATGGACGACGCTTCTTACCCGTTGGATTTGCGTATGTTCGCGAGAACTGGGTGCCGAATTATGTAAAGACGCAGGTTCATCTTCCGATGCCAGATGTTAACCATGGTGGAGGAGGATTTCTTTACCTCGAGGTTATGGTGACGGATTATCGGGAAGATCGGAGGGAGCTGTCTCGCGGGGCCGGAGCGGCGCTTATCAGGGGGATCCGGGAGTATGGAGAGGCTAGAGGGATGAGGGCGTTGTGGGTGGATGGATGGGCGGGAAATGGGAGGAAATTGATCAGGTTCGTTTATCTCTATTATCTATATCATTCTGTTCATCATTTTGTGCAGTTCATGAGAATTGGGGGTGTTAACAAGGATATCTTTGATAGGTACTATGAACAGCAAGGGTTCCGGGCTGTCGGGGAGTGGAGCCATATGAGGTCGAACAATGTGCCGTGGCTGGGAACGTTGATGTGCATGGACATCTAGCTGTAGTTGAGATAGTTGTCTATTCTTTGAGCTAACCATAATATCTTATCTGAGCCAATGATTTACAATCAGTATTCAGCATTGATTGTCTTGTTAACCCCGCACAGCTGCATCTGGTTCTCTCCCCGCCTCGCATCCACGGTCGGAAAGCTTGCAGGTCATGCGATGATGACCACGGATACTATCTACTTGTCTTTCAATGCGAGCCAACTGCAAGAGACGTGGCCCAAGCTTCCAGGCCAGCTTAGCACCGCCTTGCCCCATTAGGGCAATGTTTCCATGGCCCAAGAAGCGTTACTGCATGAATCCGGGTGGAGACGGTTCCCTGGCCCGATCCCCGCCTTCCATCCGATCTGCTTGACTGTCTTATCATTCCTGCACCTCAACGGTTGCGTTGGCCTGTTAGAGTATCCATCATCCATGATCGGCTCGGCCACGGAATTGTTGCCGGTGCTGGTCCGGCCATTCTGGCCGGCCACTGCCCTCACCAGCTGTCAATAATAGCTGGACCTTCCGCCAGGGACTGCTCACAATATGTATAACAGATTATCTGTTCAACTTCAACGAATGAACCTCCAATTTACCAAAAGATAGAGAAGATGGCAGCATCACAGCGTGTGGTCATCATAGGAGCTGGAATTGTGGGCGCCAATCTGGCCGATGAATTGGTCTCTCGGGGATGGCAGGATATCACCGTCGTCGAGCAGGGCCCGTTGAACCTACCGGGCGGCTCAACCTCCCACGCCCCCGGACTGGTCTTCCAAACCAACGGTTCGAAGACGATGACTTGTCTCGCGCAATATACGGTCGACAAGCTGCGATCGCTAAGTGATGAGAATGGCATGCCGTGCTTCAATTCGATAGGAGGTCTCGAGGTGGCCACGACGCCGGCCCGAGTCGAAGAATTGAAGCGCAAGTACGGCTATGCGAAGTCCTGGGGTGTTGAAGCGCGTCTTCTAACAAAGGAAGAGTGTTTGGAGAAGTATCCCCTGCTAAATAAGGATCTCGTACTCGCTGGTCTTCACACTCCGACCGATGGTCTCGCGTTAGCTGCCCGCGCAACCCAGCTGCTCATCGCCCGGACCCAGCAGGCCGGGGTCCGCTACCGAGACTCAACGCTTGTTACAGGCATTGAACAGACAGGATCTCGTGTGACGGGCGTGAAAACCTCCCAGGGTGTAATTCCCGCTGATATCGTCATCTCCTGCGCCGGCTTTTGGGGCGTCGAAATCGGCGCCATGGCCGGCGTCTCCATCCCTCTCCTACCACTTGCCCACCAGTATGCGAAGACAACCACAGTCCCCGCTCTAGCGAACCGCGACGTCAACAACCGTCCAAATGGAATGAACGCGAGTATGCCCATCTTGCGGCATCAGGATCAAGATCTATACTACCGGGAGCATGGAGACCAGGTGGGAATTGGATACTATGGACACCGTCCAATGCCGGTGGTGGCTGCGAGCTTGGGTCAGACTCCGGAGCACGTTGACGAGAAGCATATGCCCTCGCGACTTGAGTTCACGGCACAAGACTTTGCGCCCGCATGGACAGCCTCGCAGGAGCTTCTGCCTGTCCTCCGTGATACGCAGTTGCAGGACGGATTCAACGGCATCTTCTCCTTCACCCCAGACGGAGGGCCTCTCGTCGGACAAGCGCCAAACCTCGACGGTTTCTACGTAGCAGAAGCCGTCTGGGTCACCCACTCCGCAGGAGTCGCGCGAAGCATGGCGGAGATGCTCACAGACGGAGCATCCACCATCGACCTCACAGAGTGCGAGCTGTCTCGCTTTGAGGAAGTACAGCTGAGCCGCGACTACGTCAATGAGACCTCGCAACAGAACTTCGTCGAGATCTACGACATTCTTCATCCCCTACAACCGAGAGAGTCCCCCCGACAACTTCGAGTAAGCCCCTTCTATGAGAAACAGCGGGCACTCGGGGCCTTCTTCCTCGAACTTGGCGGCTGGGAACGCCCATTCTGGTACGAAGCAAACGCACAGCTCCTCCACGCTCTCCCAGCACAATGGCAACCACCTCCCCGAGACACCTGGTCATCTCGATACACTTCCCCTATTACCGCCGTGGAAGCGTGGAAGACCCGCAATGCCGTCGCCATGTACGATTTAACCTCCTTCCACCGCGTACAAGTATCTGGACCCGGCGCAGCCACCCTCCTGCAGCGCCTAACCACAAGCGACATCACCGCCCCTCCCGGCGCCATCACACACACCCTTCTTCTCAACTCCCAGGGCAAAATCCGCAGCGACATCTTCGTCGCTCGCCTTGAACCCGACCTCTTCCAAATCGGCGCCAACACCGCAACCGATGTCGCCTACCTATCCGTCGAAGCCCGTCGTCAAGGACAACACACCCCAGCCCAATGGGTCCAAATCTCCGACATCACCGGTAACACCTGCTGCATTGGCCTCTGGGGTCCTCGCTCACGGGCTGTAATCCGCGCCGTATCCAACGACGACTTCTCCACCACCGCACTCCCCTACATGTCCGTCAAACGCGCCACTGTAGCCGGCATCCCCATAATCGCACTCCGCAAATCCTATGTTGGCGAACTCGGCTGGGAAATCCAAACGAGCGCCGAATATGGTTCCCGTCTGTGGGATATACTCTGGCAGGCTGGCAAACCACACGGTCTCATCGCCGCAGGCCGCAGCGCTATGAACGCCTTGCGGCTGGAGAAAGGAATCCGGACATATGGAGTAGACATGACGACGGAGCATGATCCACTCGAAGCTGGAGTTGCGCATCTTGTTGACCTTGAAAAAGTGGAGGAGTTTGTGGGCAAGGCTGCACTTCAGAGTGCGGCGCAGCGGAAACAGCCTCCATTGAGACGGCTGCGGTGCTTGACTGTGGATGATGGTCATTCTATGGTTATGGGCAAGGAACCTGTCCATTTTGAGGGCAGGCCCGTGGGGTATATTACTACTGCGGTGTTTAGCTATACGACGAAGAAGCCCGCTGCGTATGCGTGGCTGCCCGGGAGGGTTCGCGAGGGGGATGCAGTTGTGATTGAGTATTTCGGGAGACAGATTAAGGCGACGGTGTCGGCGGACCCGTTGGTTGATCCCAGGGGGATTAGGTTGCATCGGGAGGATACGGGTGAAGATGCGTTTGAGACGCCGTTGAAGAATCGTCTGTAGAGTTTTAGGATTAGCGATGCGCTATATTTGGCATAACGTGATGATGATGATGATGAATGAAGTAAATGAAGAGATAAAAGGTTTGAACTATTCACTTTGCATATAATCCGCTTGTCCAAACAACCACTGGGTTTTCTCCGAAACATCGTCGTCGTTCTTCTAAGGTTCATGATAAACAAGCTATAGCACCCCTCTTAGGCCTCAGACAAAACCACATTCAATTCATCTACAGCGATAATTCTCTCTGAGATGAAATAATTCCAATCAGGCATAAATGTTGTGTAACTCCAACATGCGTTCTCATTCTTCACTTCCCCCCTTTCCCCGGATACCCCATGACCTTCCACCCGTCAAACACCCTTTACCTAGGATAGGTTGTGGCCCTGTTTGTCGGATGCAGATATGATACATTTACTTATGTCCACCAGACGTTGGTTAGTCCGGAGCACAACCTGTCTTGGAACAATACCCGCCTGGATATGATGACAGATATCTCTCAGGGACAAACCGCGTGCATGCAGTAGGATTGATGTATATTTATGGATTGCATTCACAGAACAAGAACAAGCTAACACCTCAGCTACGCCACAAGCGTATGCCTCAGTTGATATCCTCATTGACTGAGTCATATGACAGTATCAAAAGTCAGCCAGCCATCGGCTCTTGGCTCTGAAGTGGAATGTATGGTCTTTACCTCATAAAATTTGCATGCTACTGTCAAGGGCCAACTCCTCCTTGCTGATGCCCGCGGGACCTTAGGGCTGATGATCACAACCAAGCATGGCATATAATCTCAAATTGATCACCGCGGGCGTCGGCCTTGTCCGTTCTTTTTTATTATTCTCGGACTGATACGCTCTTCTATCTGTGATGATAAAGGATAGATTTCAGAATGACATCCATTTCTGAGATTTCTATAACACTCGAAGTAGACACATGAGACATTAGCAACAAAACGAGCGGAACCCGCTTCTGGCCGGCCGAGCTTAAACTCCACACCTACTAAGTCCATGTAGAGAACTCCATACAACGGCCAAAGCTATCATTTTTCCCCCTTCAACAAACCAACTACCCATCCTTTAGCGCAAGAGACGCCTTGGAACCTCGATATCTAGCAGCAGAACTGGTGTTTTCCCCAAGACTTATCAGCGTACTGCAAGTGCTCAAAAGAAAAGAAAGTCTGATACTGCAGCTGGTAGAGAAAACAACTTACCGCCCATTCGCCATTAACGAAGCACCCAGCAAAACAGGGAGTCGTGTTGCAGCAGACTTCGGCGCCATCGGCGACTTCCTCGCCATTGGCAACATCGATACTGTCGGCAACGTTGGCGTTGTTGATGCTGTCCGCGACCTTGGCCACATCTGCAACGGATTCATCTCTCTGCTTGACGACACCTGCCATCCCGAGTCCGGCGAGGATGGGTACAAGGATCATGGAAGGCTTCATGGTGTGGGTGGAGTAATGTTCACGGGGGGATAAACAAGAAAAAGCGACGGTTTGTTGGAGGTTGATGGATTGTTTGAGAGGATGTGATTGCTTTTGTTTGTGCTGGTGAGGTCCCGGGGGATGTGGACTCTTTTATACCTGATGGTGAGGCTAGGGTTCCTCGAAAAATCATAATGAAGGGTAAAGAAGAATCTAAGTCTTTTCGAGCCCTTTCTTTTGCTACGCAAGGGATTGTATTGACCGCAAGAATAGTGTAACTGGTCATTCTCTTTCTCAGCTGAGCCACAGGATAGTGATATCTAAACAGGGTAGTCAACGAAATACTCATTTCATTCAAAGCGATGCATGTCCCTGGGGAGGTAACCCACAATGTGACAATATACTAGCAGCGGCATGTAATAACTATCAGTAGTGGTGACACAACATGTCATTGCAATTGATACTCTGTGACTTGTTTATTAAAGGCAGATGATTGGGTATTGGCGTCTATTGCTATTCGTTTGAAGGGCTCTCATCGTTGAAATTACCCTAGATGTACCACACTTCGTTGTTCTCGGTATATATGATCTGCTCCTCATTAATTAGGTATCGTCTGCCGTTAGGTGCAAGAAAATGAATTCCATCCCTTGTGTTATGTGTTATTGGGTACTGCTGCCTGTCTATCTGCTTCATCATCGAGTAGTATACCGTTCGATCTTCAGCGCGCTTCGCCTCCCCATAATCCCCGCGGAGACTTTCCCCGCCTTATGCAAGGCTTGCGCAAGTCATTATTCCTGTTTGACAACAAATTTTGTTATAGTGAAACCTATGATATTGGCTACTGATACCTAGGGGTTATGATGCACCCCGCATGACGCATGATGTGGGGGAAGGGTTTCCTGTCCTGTCATGTCGAGCCATAGTGACGGTTTGCGGTAAGAATTGCAGGAAGGGTATTGCAAGTTCTTTCTCCAGCTATCCTCAATCTACCAAATCCTTAGTTATCAAATGGATTGCTCTCCTGCTCTTCTTTACGATCGTGATCAGCACGCAGAGTAAGCGCAAGTAGGAGAACTGCAAGTTCAGTCATATGTGATTCTGAGCGAGTATCGTAAGGACCAAATTCATGAATCGTCAAAAATGATCGAGGACGTTCTGGATGTTGAAAGCCATGCTCAATGTATCTGAGGTACTCATCACCGTACTCGGCAAAGCTGAGCCAAATTTCATGTCTGTCTTGTGAGACTTGAAAGCGCCTGAAAACCAAAGTCCGGTTTAGTTTGTAAAAACGATGCAAACTTCTAAACGGACTGCTTACCGGAACGGAAGCTTTCCTGGTTGTTGGGGATGATTCTTAAGCCAGGCGACAAACTGTGCACCCTCCTGCATGCAGATCGCTAAGCGGGATTCCCGCCGAAGGGCTGCTTTAACTTCGATCAAAGCACGCACCTCGCCATCAACTTTGCCTCGAAGATATCCATCCGTCCTTGCCTCGTATTCTGCATCGTTGAACTTGGCTTTGAGCGACTTCCGATGAATGGTCCAGGAGCTTCCAAGAGAAGGGAAATAATCTGTGAGAGCTTGGAGAAAGTTTACTAGAGCAACATTTACAATTTGTTCGTCATCGACCGGAGGGTACGTGTCGCGTAGGAGCTCCTCGGGCCCCAGAGAGTCTCCCGTTGAGATAGACTGCGGTCCGGTGAAGATATCGTCCTCTCCGTCATTTCCTGGAGTTACTGGTTCTGTTGCGGTAGTGTTCTCTTCGAGAGTAAGCTGCTCAAAAGAAGGCTGGTTCGTTCGAGTCGGTGACGTGTAGGGCTCTCTGCGTTCTTTGCGTTCTCTTTCGCGGGTGCGTTGGCGCGTGTGCTTGGAGACCGGGGAGAACATGACACTGTTGGAAACTTCGTTGCTTTTGACCTTGGCTGCCTCGGCCTGTGAATTCTGAACTAAGAAGAAGTTCCCTTCCTTATGCTTTCCCTTAAAGCTCTCGCGATAGGTGTTCCAGGAGGGATAAGACTGAAGCATGTCTTTAGCCTGGTTCATCCACGGTTCTAGGCCAAGCCGCTTGGGATCCAGTCTAGTTCTGTGTGACTTCTTGCGAAGAACACGAAGAAGCAAATACTGACGCAATGTGATCTTCGAAGCAGAGAACAGCTTTTCCTCGTGGATGAGTTGATTGAGGACACCCTCCTTCTCTGCCAATTCAGCCCACTTGGCGGGGTTTGCAGGGACATCCTTTTGTGATTGAGTCATGACTCAAGGCACAATATGCAAAGGCTGAGTAACGGGGAGGATCGCATGGACTATATCAATGGCTATAACATCAGAGAAGAGCAGCATTGGTCAGGAGAGGAAGTAGCGGGGGGGGGGTGGGAGCGCGATGAAGGAAAGGGCGGCGCCTACGGAGACTGCTAGTCCATAAGTTGCTATTTAGAGAGATGCCACACAAGGCTGGCGGCTTTCACACTACTACGTAGCTGTGGTGTTGGCCAGTGAAGGACCTGCGCGGCAGCAGGGATCTAGTGAAGGTGGAAGGATGCCGGTCAATCACCATGAACTACCCATAATCACTCCTCATCTCAAATGAGACAGACGCCTGATCAACCTAGCTCTAACCTGTAAATTTATTCCTGATAATAGATTTCCCCTCGCGAAATTTCTTCAAGATTATAATCCGACATTGAGACATTCTTAATTAAATATCAAGATGTATCTCAAATACGCCAGTGAATGGATCGGCATGCATCGCAAAAAGGGGAAGAAGCTGTCACTGCGTCCCCCTCTCTGGGGCTGGAGTGGATAGTAGTCTGGAACCGCCCAGACCCATGATACGTAGTTGCGGGCGGTAAAAAGAGGGCGCCACGGTTGCCCCGAGACCGCCCTTTATCTAATCAACATCCTCCTCCGCCGTATCAACCTACAGTTACGCCTACTCCTTCCTTCCTCCAACTGCCTTCTCTTCTTCCTATTCCCCCCCCCCCACCACCACCACCTCACCTACCATCAATTTGCGGTATTCTTTTTTAGAATACCCTGCTTAAATGCTGGAAAGTAGAGAACATCAAGCTCGTCGACATGCCATCAAGGCCGTCGCGCAAAGCATCTCGCATCGCCCGGGAAATCGATACCAGCACAAAGACTTGGATGACCTCCCTATTCAGATCCTCCACATGCCCCTATCCGCCGATGGGACCCCATTATTCAAACCTGAATTTTTCTGGCCCTACCAGAAGCCCCTTCCAGACCCGAATGAGGAGATAGAGTTCTCGCCCTCCAGCCCGAACGAAGCTATGAATCCGCTGGACGAGGCAATGGTCCTCAGCGACTATTTCGGGGAATATATCACCGATGCCACCCTGATTCACAAGGTTGATTGGCAACATAATCCCAGACAGTATGATCCATTTCTATTCACAAGACAGAACCAATTCATCTTTCGACGAACAAATTACTGATCGGTGTCCAGGACCATTGACTTTCCATGTATTCTTCACGAGATTGACCAGGAGAAGTCTTTGGACTGGCGTGTGGATGGTATAACTGGCATTCCGGGTGGACCTCGAATGAAATCTCTTCTACTCGAAAGTGTGGACGCGGACGATGAACAGATCACCCGTGGGGAGATCTTATGTATGTGTCGGATCATGACTACTTGCCTCCGTTCCAGAATGTATTTTGCCCATCAAGTCAGTCCGGTGAGTGCTGTGAATTCCTGCTTTTGTCTCATTTCTATTTCCGTAGCTAATTTGCCCAAGGTACTACTCATCTCTTTCGTCGGCCCGAGACATGCTCGCATTCTCCTGGGCCATCATGATGGCACCAACCTGGTGATCCGTCAGTCTAAACGCTTTGCATTCTGGGAACGGAACATACCCGACATGAAAATCTTGCTTCGATGGTGGTGCTCGTCTGCGATTGGGGATACCACCAATGGGTAGGAGAGGCTTAGTCCTCACCTGATACTGCCTCACATCGACGTTATGTCTGGTTTATATTCTTTCAAGCATGTTCGGGTCGGTGTTGTGGGTCCGGTTTGGTTATATTTAATGAAAGGAGCGGGATTATGGCGTTAATTGATGGGGTGTATTGTTTGTAGCCTGTCGGGTACAATAAGGGCTACGTACATCTTATGTCTTTACGATGGATTGGAGTTGGGGAGCACTAAAGGAACCATGGCTTTTCAAAATAGCCCCATTATTGTCTGTCAATGATATTGAGTTGATACCATCAATATTGATTTTACTAGATACCATATAATTAATATCATTCAGATGTTTTTATCGAACCATCATTGGAGCCTGAGCTGGCAAGAGTAGCCGTTCTCCTACTCCAGTTGCCGAAGACATGATGAACACTATCCCGTATCATTTATTGGAATAATGGAAGGTATCATTGTCAAGTATGGCAATGGTCATGCAGAGTAGAATACTAACGTAAACGAAACGACAGACATAGTTTGGAGTACATGATGTAAGAACCACATGATGTCTCCATGAGTTGGTTATTGACGTAGAATCAGAGAGCGACTGAATAACCCCTCTTTATGGCGTGAGCATGGGGACTAGTGGGCGCGGGGAACGTAACCTCATGTGTCGCTGCTTTCCTTTCTTGCACCTAGTATCTCTTGTAAAGCAATAGGTATATGCCCTGCACAAAGGTTTTTCACAATTCGAGCTATAGTATTCTGTACGAAGCAGTACTTTGTCCTTGGGGACTTCCAGATCTGCTGCATAAGCTTTGGATATACTATTCAGCATATTTGGGAACTCAGGTTACCATTTGCCAATGATTTGAACACCCAAACAATAAGAGGACGTTCTCAACCAGACTTACGACAGATTCGACCACTTTTATGTTGTCTTGTTAATTCATGTTAAAGCTGTCCAAGTTAAGTATGGCTAGTCGTATATCTCACTGGACGCCTTCATAGCTACCATAAAGCACAGTTATAGAGCTACCGATAGAGCAAAAAAATTTTTATGAAATCGAATAAAGCGTAGAAATCCTTCGGCGAGCTTCGAACAACATACTCGTGACATGTGTGGGGACCTCGAAATAGAAACAAATACAATGGAAGATCAATCGGAGACAGTAAGTGACCTATGCAGGGATTTATGGTGGTTAATCGTCCTTAGGAAATATAAATGGAAGCTGAGAAAGGGAGGCTGGAGAATTGAAACGGTGATACAAATCATCTGCGGGACTAAATAGACTCAATGATGACAGGCCGAAAACTTCCACTCAGTCTGAGAATTTACTGGTCATGTTCTACAGTGACTTGGACTGTCACCACCACTATCCCTTGAATACATACGTTGCGTGTTCATTCAATCAAGTAGTATGGTGGGTGGGGAGGGACAGTTGATAAGGGATAGAAAGAGACGAGAAGTGACGTCAAGATGGAAGTTACTAGTTGAATACGCAGTATACTAGACCTATTGCAGTGGTCATCTCCTAGTTTTCCTACCTTAGCCCTAACATGAGAAGTTGCGGCACAAGGACGAAAAAGGTTCGTTCTATTTCATGTGTCGTCTACCAATGTTGTGGGGCTTCTTCCCCGTGCACAAACAAGCAATGTCACCGAATGACTTTGACAGGGAATCTGATGGTCCGATCCCTAGTGCCTTACTGCTGAACATGCCAGGGACTTCTTTGAATGCGATGCCTGATATATATTTCCCCTACCACGTACCCACTTAGTTATTCCGCGGGGCATTTCCATAGGAGCTGATAGGCCGACAGGCAACATCATCCACAAAGTAAATCCGGGCCGATGATCCTCTCCCAACCGAAAAGCTTCATTCATCTACCCAGGAATCGAACTTCCACCGCTTCTTGTTCCCCTCTTTCGTCACCGCAGCGATGGATATCCTATAGCATGAACCTTCCCGAAAAAAACATCAAATAATAGAAAAAGATATACACGGGAATAAACAGAGAAAAAGGCAATGAGCGTCCCTCAACTCTCCACCCAGCTCACCGAAGCACCAACCCACTTCCCAAATTGTTGTCTATCAATCTCCAGCACCCTAATAGCCCACCTAGCATGGCTCCTCCCTAAAAGGCCCGCGTTCACCCTATCAATAGGTTGTGGATCCGGTCTCCTTGAAGCTCTAATACTACATAACCACCCCAACGTCCAACTCACCGGAATAGAAGTCTCCACATCAGTCAACCGCTACCTTGCAGAAGAGGACTTCGACGTGGTCAGCGGGACTTGGGATCTGTATGCGCGTGCGCCGCAGACGGCAGCATGGATGTTTGTTTACCCGCGTGAACCGAAGCTGGTTAGCAAGTATATTGAAAAGTATGGTGAGGGACCTGAGTCGTCAGTGCAGATGATTCTGTGGTTAGGACCTCGCGCGGATTGGACCGATTATGAGCCGTGCTTTCGCAACTCGTCATTCTCGGATGTGTGTATCCCTGAGGATGTGGGAATGATGGGGTTTGAGATGTTGGCTGTTATGCGCAGGAGGTAGCGGTGTGTTTGATGTTGGAAGGAGAATTATTATTTATCACCAGTGTATACATCTGTTTGGGTCGTCGGACAGGGCCCGCGAGATATACAATTTCCTGGCTGGTAGCAGGATGGGTTAGGCGACAGGATCTGCGGAAGATGCAAGAGGTTCGCTGATCCTTACTACTACTCCTGTTGCTGCTGCTGCTACCATCTGATATCCGGTCGGTCATCCAAGGGATCTTAGCAGCGTCATCATATTTCCAAGCCTTGATATACTATATGTCACTATCATATTCAAGACATGAAAAGCTTCGAACTCAATGAACTAGTAGGAGTAGGAGTCCGTCAACAGGCTCCATTGCAACAATTTCAGTCCCCAGTTTCCAGATTATTCCACCAAATCATAGGCTAGTAACTATAGATCTCATTTTCCATATCTTTCTATCAGTAGAATCCCCCGGCTCCGCCGTTTTCTAGGGTTCAGACATGATACTCCCCATACCAGTCTCCTCTTCCTATCCCTATCATGCATCATGCGGGATGTCCACGTCACTCAGCACACAATGCTACAAAGACAGCCGGTGGCTTGCGTGAACCTTGCATGGGGTGTAGAGAGAGCTATGCAATGAGCGACTTCCGGTAGCCAATGAAAAGCAAGAGGTATATCGATCATGCTAGAGCTGAATCGTGGTAGTAGACGAGAAACAAGGATACTACGTAAAATTGTAAAATAAATTAGAAGTAGGTATACCCCTTGGAAGTTCATCCTCACGTCCGCAACCATATTCCGCGGATCAAGGGAGGTCTTCTGATGTACTGTGTAGTGGTCTTAGCGTCAACAATTGATAGTAGCCCTAATTGATTCGCATCACGTCATATATAGTCTTGGAATGCTTGCGTGGCTTTGCTTCCTGCTTATACTGTAAATGGGCAACAATCAGTTCTATCTTTCCTCGATGATCTTCCCAAGTTACTAACCAGAGTCAATGCCTGAGATAGGCATCCTACCTTGACGCAACCCATTAGTACGGTACCACTTTCTTGCAGATAGGACAAGATACCATCTCGTCACTCAATGACCTAAGTTAAGGAGATAGTGACTGTCTGTCACACTACATGGCGGTCAATTCCAGCCTTGCGTAGCATAGCGAAGATCTGCAAACTACATAATATCTCAGGGCTGCAGATTACATACTACTATTCTAAACAGCCAGGGTTCATAAAATGGCCGGTAGCTCCGTGAAGAAGAAAAAGAAAAAGAGCATTCACTCAAGCTATCTCATCGTCTAGTCTATCGCCTGTTACCATACCACCTCACTCCAGCCCTTCTCCATCAGCTCCCTTCGTCTACCAACTACAATCCACCCAACATGAAGGTTTCCATTGCCTTTGTGCCCCTCCTTGCCGGGCTCGGAATGGCCGGCCCCATGCGCAAGAGAGAAGAGCATGTTGCCGGAGTTGCAGGCGTCGCTGGTCTCACCGATCTCACCGATGTCGCTGGTGTCGCTGGTGTTGCCGGCGTTGATAACAGCATCAACCGTGCTCGCAGCATCGACGTTGCGAATGTTGCAGATGTTGCCGACGTCGCTGGTCTCACTGATCTAACCGATCTCACCGATGTTGCTGGTGTTGCTGGTGTTGCAGGCGTTGCAAACAGCATCAACCGCGCTCGCAGTATCGACGTTGCTGACGTCGCCGATCTCACTGATCTCACTGATCTCACTGATCTAACCGATCTCACCGATGTTGCTGGTGTTGCTGGTGTTGCCAACTAGAAGGATGAATGATGCAGGATTCTTGGTGCATTTGGTAGCCAGTCAATCTGCTCATTTGGTCAGTCCCTGCAATCAATTAGAGCAGTCTTTCAAGCTCGAGGCAGCAGTGTACTAACAAATCATGAATCAAAGAAAACTGTACGGTTACAACCACTTCGAACTCAGCGTGGGCGCCAAGATATGGATGGGATAATCCCGAATAGACGGTTTTGGTCGTCACTGTGGGCACGCTCGACTGGTCAAAACCGGTTCCTCTGGTTATGATGAAATGATGATTTCTTTTGGGATACAACTAGCCATCTACCAGATATAATATGTAGTGGTTAATGAAGAGGAGCCATTTCCACCGTTATGTCCAGGAGCTCTGGTTCTCCTGCTCAAGTAGACAAAGGAATCATCAACAGGGTGCTTCATATAGGATATCATATATCACAGACGGGCCGATCCTTATCGAGCTGTATCTGAGCATAGAGAAGCTCTAAAGCCGATTGAGCATCTAGATTTCAAACTATTCAGTTGTTCCATAGGTCTGAAATCTAGTGCATGGCATCCTCTATAACAATCGGGGGTGTCAGCCCTATATTTTGACCGATCAAAGGGTACACCTGTATATCCAAGGTCTTCTGTTTGAGTTTACATATGAATAGGTCATTTCAAAACCCTATATGCCGACTATATGAATCCATGGGGTATAGGAAAAAAAAAAGATATTGTGCTGACAGGTATTAGTTTATCGGCTGTGATCACAACACATTCTCAGAAACTTTGGTTACTGGCCTATTATAGTAACTAGCCTAACAATTAAACAGACTAGCCCATTAGCTAGTCTGCTAGCTACACACTAAGATACGACCAACCCACCACGTCGAGCGTGAGCCCTATCTCCTGCTTCGTACTGGCTAATGTGCGGCTTGGAATAAGCATCATACAGTAAGCTGATATAAGTTGGTCAGCCATGAAACGATGCTTACACTTTAAAATCAACTACCCACTTATGTTCCAATCCATTCGAGAAATTATCTTTGTTTGATTGCATACGTGAAGCCCTAAGTTGCGACCATGAGCACATCTCACTTTTGAGTTACCGAGCACACCATTCAGTGTCCCTCTCTCCGGGAATATCACCATGGAGTCAAAAGCGGTCAAAAATACATTTAGCAATTAGACAATACGTTCCTCTCAATAATCCCCACCCTGTACCGGAAGATATTACAATGTCGCGGGACATGCAAATGGGATTCCTAAGGTCAGGAAGCGTGCTATCAGTAGACTACATTAGTGCTGAGCAAAGGACATACTAATACTACTACAGGAGTGATACGAGCCTCTATGGGACGACCTTCTTGCAACGAGCAAGGTGAACATCAAGGCCATTTGGTTCGCAGACTATGCAAATCAGGGCGCCAGTGGAGTTTTGAATGAAGATAAACTGGGTGATGATCGTGACTTGTTGGCACTGTTCTCAAAACTCCTTAATACAGCTGATGATTCTCTATTAGCAAATTGGTTTGACCATTCCCGGGATCTCTTATCGATGGTTACGCATTCTCAAGACCAAATTCAGCCCCCAATTGCAGGGGTTGCACACAGCTTCAGCTGCTCGCCATTTTATGCAGCCCACCCAACACCCTAGACATCATTCCTTCTACTTCCCTGCTACCAAAGAATGACCATCTAACCAACAATCCAGCGTCCATTTCTCCCTCATGCACCCCCGTCTCTTCCACACCCTCATCTTTCTCGAGCCATGATCCAAATCGAAAGTCCCAACAAGCTCGGTGGCCGCAGCCCTGCCCTCTGGGCTAGCACCCGCCCCGACCTCTGGCCGTCCCGGTCCGAAGCTGAAAAGAACATCCGAGTAATCCTTTGTGGCGCAGATGGGATTCTCGTGCGGTCGCAAAATACATTGAAAATGGTCTTCGGTCTGTTCCGACGGCTTTGTACCCGCTTGATCCCCCGTCCTCTAACGGAAAGATGTCAAACCCGAAAGTGACACCAAACTCAGTGACATTGACAACCACCAAAGCTCAAGAAGCATGGACGTATCTGCGCTTTAACGTAACGCCATATGCAGATACTACTAAGTAGGATAGGAGTAGTGGTAGTGCTGAGCGCTTCCTCAGTTTGGATTTGGCCACATCAGCCAAAGAAGGCACCAACAACCACCCCAGCTACGTAGCGACCTGTCCTTGGACAAGTCTCGCGTTCGAGTTCTTGCCTTATATTCGGCCATCAGTTCTATTTGTTTGGGGAGAGAAAATTCATATCAATACCCCCGGTGCGCGCAGAGATGATAAGCTGTTACGTGTTGGCACTGGGCTTGGAGGTAGTGGGCATGTTCGGGCAGGGATGGTTCGGGATGAGGTTGTGAAAGGGGCATCTCATACGGTTCCCTTTGAAGAGGTGGGTGAGACGGCAGGTGTGGTTTCAGACTGGTTGGTAGAGCAGGGGAAGAGGTACATGGAGGAGAAGAAGTTTTGGGGGAAGTATGATAGTCAGAAGTCGGAGAGGGGTGGGTTGGCGTTGTCGGAGAATGGATGGAGTATGTCAAGTTGCCAGTTGATACGAAGCGGGAGAGGAAGGGGAGTCGATTGTAGATACTCAATTGTACTGCTTGGTGTATGCTATGTCGAAGATACTTATATATTGTTCCATACTATTTGGAGCGAAACGGTTTCGAAGTATCTCCGTAGGAGTGATATGCAAGTCAAGGACGAATTCATAGATAAACGCTTGTATTAGATCACGATAACACGATTTCAAAAACTGTTCCAAAGCCCCGTTACCGCCATATTTACATTGGCCTTGGTAGCAGAAAGTCTAGCTTAACGCAGTAATATAGGCTGTGTGATGATAGCAGCATCCTACGGAGTACTCCGAGGACACTCCGATATAGTAGTGTGATACGGAAAGACAAACCCGCCGCTTACGCATATATGGTCGGTGCGCATCACGTGAATCCCCGCGGATGGGGCTAGACTAGCGGGAATCCTCCGATCACGGCGTCCGTTAAGCGGATGTTTTTCTCCAGCCAGCAGGAACTCTCTTCCTTACATCCCCTTTAGCAAGGTATTCACAATGGCTGCTGCTGCTAGGACGCTTCGCATAGGTCAATTGCTCCTCTCTATCTCTTAATATCTCTCTGCGCCCGTCTAGTTGCTGACATCTTCCCTCATGCAGGTCTCATCCCCGGTGACGGCATCGGCCGAGAGGTCATTCCGGTGAGTCACCCCAGCGAATAGCTCACTTTAGAAACACCAATTCTAATAAAACTTTCTTCATCAGGCCGGCCGGAAGGTTCTGGAGTCTCTCCCCTCCTCCATGAACCTCAAGTTCAGCTTCGTCGACCTAGATGCGGGTTTCGACACCTTCAAGCGCACCGGTAGCGCTCTCCCCGATAAGACGGTCGAGATCCTCAAGAAGGAGTGTGATGGTGCCCTGTTCGGAGCTGTCAGGTGGGTGCTACGTTGATATCCTCGTCCTCATCTTTCACTTAATTGCCATCTGACCAATTCCTCCACAGCTCCCCCAGCACCAAGGTCGCCGGCTACTCCTCCCCCATCGTCGCCCTCCGCAAGAAGCTCGACCTGTACGCCAACGTCCGCCCCGTCAAGACCACCGCCGGCAGCACCGACGGCAAGCCCATTGACCTGGTGATTGTGCGTGAGAACACCGAGGATCTCTACGTCAAGGAGGAGCAGACCAAGGAGACCCCCAATGGCAAGGTTGCCGAGGCTATTAAGCGTATCTCCGAGAACGCTTCCTCCCGCATCTCCACCATTGCCGGTGAAATCGCCCTCCGTCGCCAGAAGATCCGCAGTGTTGCTGGTATCGCTGGTCTCCGCACCGAGCCCATGGTGACCATCACCCACAAGTCCAACGTTCTCTCCCAGACCGACGGTCTCTTCCGTGAGACCGCCCGCAAGGCCCTCTCCGCCGACCGCTTCTCCTCCGTCCAGGTTGAGGAGCAGATTGTCGACTCCATGGTTTACAAGCTCTTCCGTCAGCCCGAATACTACGACGTCATTGTCGCCCCCAACTTGTACGGTGACATTTTGTCGGATGGTGCCGCTGCCCTGGTTGGCAGTCTGGGACTGGTTCCTAGCGCTAACGTTGGTGATGGCTTCGCTATCGGTGAGCCCTGCCACGGCAGTGCCCCTGACATTGAGGGCAAGGGTATTGCCAACCCCATTGCCACTCTGCGCAGTGTTGCCTTGATGCTGGAGTTCTTGGGCGAGGAGACTGCCGCTGCCAAGATCTACACTGCTGTTGATGCCAATCTCGATGAGGCCAAGTTCCTTTCTCCTGACATGGGTGGTAAGGCTACTACCCAGGAGGTTCTGGATGATGTCTTGAAGAGGTTGTAAAGGGTTGTTGGAAATGACTCTTGATGTATAAATAGCGAGATAAAAGAATAAGCTTTCTAGAGCGAATATGATGTCAACTTCCTTATAAAAATGGAGCGGGTCTGTGATAATAGATAACCATGATGCCTAGCTTACTACAATACGGGAGGCTCAAGACAGGAAGGCGGGCTGTTCCATTGTCTATCATTTTTTCTGATCCCGTGAGCAGGTAAATAGAACAAGAGGCAGTCTAGAATCACCATGGCACGTGCCGACGATTACATCTAAGAAATACAGCAAGTGGAACAAAGGTGGACAAATACCAACGCGACACACGTCCTTAACCTTAACTGACTGATCGCAAATGCATTGACACGTATTGAGCCATTTGTTTGAAGGAATCTGACAGATTGTTAATTGTCATCATAGCCGATGGAGTAATTACTCCAAAGGTGGATTGTTACATACGATGTACTACTAAAGGCTTCGGGGAATTCTTTACCTACTAACAAATTACTCTGTCCTCTTACAAGGATACACTCAGCTTCAGTCACCGCGACCGAATACTTAAGTTCCCAATCGGGTATGGGGCGCTCGGGGCTCGTCAGCTGAACTCCTGGACAAACGGTCCTTTGCTTTTTACTCTACCTCCTGGTTCGTTTCACCCGGCTCATCCTCGTGCCTCGTGCTGAACACTCCCCAGCCTCACGCTTGTGGGTCAGCGGAGATTGAACATCAATTTTGTTGTTCCTGGCAGCGTTTTCCCACCAGATCTACCTGCTAAGACCGATCTAACATAACTAGTTAATCAGTCAGTTGGTTCCTATCATGCGGCCAGTTGCCGCCAGAGCCCCATGATCATATATACCCACCAAGAATTCGATCCAGACATCGTAAGCTAGGGAGATACCGACTTTGAGACAGAGAAAATTCACGGCACACAAAGCAGTGACTCACCGAGGAGTAGATACGAACTTGCACGGCATCTTCCAAGACATAAACAACTGGCCCAGTCAAGGAGGGAGGAACGCTCCTAGCGTGAGGCGGTGCACGCGGGCGGGAACCGTATAAGAGTGGAGGACATCCTGCTGCGAGGGACGGCAAGGCCTACTATTTGATTGGGGCACGTTCCACTCCCATCCACAATGCCAACACCAACATCACCTCAGCAAACTGTGCGGCCTCCTCGCAATAATAGAAACTCACAATCTCCATCGCCACTACCGTTCCTAGCGCGCCTTATCGTCAGGCTCCGCAATATCTGCAGCACAATTATGGCATCCTATACGTTGAAAGAAGTGATCGATAGGGGAAAGTTCGAATCACTTAGTGACGAACGACTTGTTGATCTCCTGTATCATCAGTTCAAACCGGTGATCGACAGACTCAAGAAGGTGGAACAAAATATTGAGGGGGACGATGCGCATCCCCAAGGATTACTAACCCGGGCAGGCGTTGGGGGAAAACGCAATGAAAATGATTATAATCTCACCCCCTCCCGATATCTTTTCAACGGCGAAGATTACTCAGAGGTGAACCGAACCTTGACTAATGTTCTTGCGGTGCGATGGTTGCTCGTCGGGGATTACCGCATCTTTACTTGCCATCAAAAGGGACCCATTAAGTTAAAGATGGAGACTTTTGAGGAATTTCGCAATCTCATTGACCGGTTCCGAAATAAGCAAGATTGGCTAATGGCCTTGATTGTGGCTCTGGTCATAGGTGACGTGGGTAAAGACGATGAGCTAGCTAAAAAAGTGCGAGCTCATTTCAAGATTCCATCAGACGAGAAAATGAATCACGATACAGTTCTCGAAAAGGCCCTTGAAATGAACATCATCAAGTCTCCCTCTCCACCATTGGATTTAGCCCTTGAAATGAATAGCATCAAGCCTCCGTTTCCATTGGATTTACTGCCGCCTCCTCGACAAGATGATGTATTTCGAGGAGTGAGACTGGGCGCCAAACTCAATATCCCACAGCTAGCCCAAGGTGAGAATGTTCCAGGAAGCCTGCAATGTCTTCACGATCTTCAAGGCCAGGAAAGCGCCTTTGATTTGAAATATCTTGAAATCATGTTCGATGTGGCTGGCGCAGGGGCGCATGTTGATGCTTGTGGTTCGGTCCGGATGATTGAACCGGTCTGCCAATCATTCCTACTTACTTATGAGATCCTGAAGCGCGTCATATCAAAAGAGATCACTATCCAGGACGCCTACAATAAAGTCTTGCAAAATCGAGGCCGTATCTTATCCGACAAGGGTTATCCAGAGTTATCAACAGATAAAAAGCAAGATCGGGCCCTCTTGCGCCTGTATGCAATGGGCAGGGTAGCAGATATCGACTTGGCAGAACGCTTCCGCAAGGCCCTTCTCGGCCTCCCAGATAATCATAGAGCTGAACTTATCCAAGAGCTTAATCAGAGCGGTCTGGAAGGTGAACAAGCTGTAATTCTTTATTACATGCCCGCACTGTTTGCAGAATTACTCCGGCACACCCAACAGGCTTCTGAGGAAACGCAAATAAAGGCGCTCACGTCGTTGATGGGCTTTATGAGACGCACATATATCGGAGCAAAGAATGTACCCGGTGAAAAGAAGCTCATTATTGAGTGTGATGTGTCTGGAGCAAAGAGCAAGATTCAAGCCCCGGAATTCCCAGAAGACCTTACTGGGTTGGACGACTATACTCTCCCATCATTGGGCTCTTAAGGATTCTCAATTCTGGTAGCTTAAACAAACTCGCTCCTGCTTCATGTGAAACTGCGCGCTACCTTCGTTCTTGGTCGTTGTCGCGGCCAGACAACACTCGAACCTTCTGTCCACACCATCTTACATCACACATGATCTTCCTTTATGTCTGCATGCTTATTCGCTCCAATCTGCCTTTTCCTTTCTAGGTGGAAGGGCTGATACCTTTACGATTGCTACGACGTTCATGACACGACAAACGGCGAACGCTTTGCGTCCCAATATGAGGATCCTAGAAAAAACGAGAATTTCTGGGTAGTAGTATTATTTTACATGCTCTGAAAGATACCACTAGAATGCATTGGCCATACACAGTGGGACAGTCTCGCGCTCAGCTAGCTCTTTGGCCGATAATTTACTTGCTTTTCTCCGATTTCGTAATTCGCCTCTACTAATAAAGGCATCACTGTCATCTCCAGCTTTGCTATCATTTACTGCTACATAAAATCCCCAAATACAAACCCCAAAATAGCCAGTCAGCGCTCACCTGGCGTGCAAATTCTACGCTCTGACGAGGCCCTCTAACTCATGAAGCGCGCCCTTAAATAAGGTGCCGATATTTAAGACACATGAAATACATTCGACAGTGCTATATCAAATATCCTTCAATTAAATTAGTTTCCTAGGTCAAACTCTTCACACACAGCCTCCGCAAACAACCTCACCCCCTCCTTCAGATCTCCCTCCTCCGCAGCGGCGAACGTCATCCGAAAATGCAGATGGTCCTCCCTTTCCTGATTCGAAGCGAACAGCGACCCTTTAGTCACAAGCACTCCCTTCTCCAAAGCCTTAGCAACAATTCTCTCCTCCAACCCAACTATCTGCGCACTAACCTCTCCCAGCGACAAATCAGACAAGCCCTTAAGCCCAGGATGCTGTCTCCAGCCAACTTTAAGCCACAAAAACATGCCGAACTCCGGTGCATTCCACTGCACAATCTCCCTGGGCAGATACTTGTTGCAAGCATCAAGAAGCACATCCCGCCGCCAGCGATACTCTCGCGAGAGGTGAACAAGCCACGTGGTGAACCCATCATGCCCCCAGTTCTCATCGAGCAGATTCCACAGCATAAGCTGGGAGGGGCCGCTAACAGCTAGAGTGCTTACTTCCTGGTATGCGTTGAACTTATTGATGATATGCCTGGATGCCGTGACCCAGCCGGCGCGCAACCCGGGAGCGAGGATCTTGGATGCTGAATCGAGACGTACCACGCGCCCGGATGTGTCGAGGGCGAGGTAGGAGGGGATGGACTCGGAGCGGTAGACCTGAGCGGCTTCGTCCTCGTAGGCATGGTGATTGGTATCAGTACCATTCGTTTCGTTGGCCTCATAGTGATGGCTGTGGTAAGGACCCATCCTCAAGAAATAGTACGGGTCATCCTCGATGATAATGAGATCATGTTTCTCTGCGACATCATAGACAGCTCTGCGCCTTTCCCGAGATTGGCTGACTCCCGTCGGATTCTGACCCGTTGGGATAGTATACAGCACGCGTGGCCTGGGAGACTGAGCATCATCCCAAGAGGAAAGTACCTCATCCATTGCATCAGCCCGCAAGTCATCCGCATCCATCTCAATCCCCTGGACATTAACCCCATTCAACGCAGCACTTTCTAGTGTTCCGGGGTACGTATATTGCTCCGCGAGAATGGTGTCCCCGCGATTACAGAAGATTCTAAATGCCACCTCCGTCGCGGCAGTCGCTCCACAAGAGAGGAATGTTGCCCAGTCTGCATAAGGGGGATTGTGAACGAGCTCAACGTGCTCGGTGATGAATCGGAGTAAGTGTGCTGATCCGTTTGCGAGGCAGTAGTTCATTGCGATTGAAAGGTTGTATGTTAAACCGTGTTTGGTTATTGTGTTCGCTGAGTGGCGGTTTTCCTGTTCTTTGGGTAATTGTAGATTGGGTTTTGGTGTAGCTTTACTTGTCGGTTCTGGAGAAGCCTCATTCAGGCTTATAGATTCCCAAAGATAATAGTCCGCTGTTGGTCGTCCTGTTCCCAAGGAGATGATCTTGCGCGGACCGCTTGGGCTGGACCCCTTTTTCAACGCTGAGCCGGTAAAGTTCCGGCTTTCGAGGCTGAGGTGGTGGTCTAGTTGCTTTGCTGATGGTTTTTTCTGAGTATAGGGTGATTTATACTCATCAGAGGAGACGGCTGGGGCAGGAATGAGAGGAAGAGGGGGCGCGGCAGCACGAAGGGCTTTGATTTCGGTGGATTGCAGGCGTGTCATTGTGGGGTTGAAGTTATAGGCTACAGAGTCTGCAAGATGTACTTCATGATGCGAAGGGTTCTCGTCTTTTCTTATAGTCTTGGGCAGGACAAAACATCACTTATCTTGATGCCGGAGAGATCGGAGTGATGTACTCGAACTCTCCGCGTACTCCGCTCCTTGTTGTCTTACGCTTATCGCGCCTTTTTCTTTCTCTCTACCTTTGGATAATTCTGACCGGTCTATAATTTGTTTGACTAACTATAGTGCTAGATTTATGTGCTTCAAGACCCTCACTGGGAGTAGAATTAGTATGAGTTCAATGAGGCCCACTCTACGGTTCATATAGTAATATAATCGCAGTGTCCGACCAAGCCTGCCAAATGATATTAGTATCAAATGCAAAATAAGAGAGCCCCATTTACGGAGTGATCAAATCATTAACTCAAGCAAGACCAGCTTGAGCCTTTTAATTGTCTCTTCTGTCGGGGAAGTAGTATGTCTCGGCATACTCATTTACCCCGCTCCGAGACTCCGATAACGCTACCCACGCCTCTCCGTATACGCCGGTCCGCCCTCGAGGGTGTCAACGCAGTAATTGCACCATTATATCTGCGATTGCAATGGCAACTAGATTAGCCGCATGTGAACCTTGCAGAAGGTCCAAGCTTGCGTGCGATCATCAACAGCCAGTTTGCAATCGGTGTAGGGATGGTAACCGACCGGGTCTTTGTATCTACAGGAGTGCGCCGTTCAAAAGACGAAAGACTAGCAATGCGGTGACAGAGCATACATCTTCTCGTCAGTATGATTTCCCTTTCTTAGTGTCATTCGAATATACATCGGCTAAGACCATGCCACTTCATTCGGCGTCACCACTTTTAGCTCTCCAGACCCATCACCCCCAGCATCATCTCCACCTCATGCAGGAGGAAATAGATATCCCAACCCAGGATATCTTGGGTCGTCCAGCCATGTCGCCATATTCAAACATATTATTTCATCAGATAGTCAAAGTGCTACATCTCATTCGAGCCCTAACACCGCTTCGTGGACAGCATCTCTCTTCCCGCCTGACGATGATCTCGTCGTCCAGCGATGTGCAGATGCCCTCAAAATGCTCCTGACGAGGTTTTCCTTGCCTGCTATGAAAGAGCTAGTAAAGCTGTGGCGGGCAAGGGGAACGAATCTGGCAATTATGGGTGCTATGGTTGATCAATGTGTTGATAACATTCCCCTACCACCCTCATCAACAAACGAAGATTGGCATCTGCTATATGCGAAGTCTCTTCTCACTAACTCTTCCCAGCCGCTCAGATACTCTCAGTACTCTACCTTTTCCGAGTTCTGTGCTCAGTTTATTAATCAGAATATGCGATGGGAAACACTCGCAATCTTCCTCTCAGCTGTGGTCCGCGCCACTATGGATATTCAGTTCTTCCCGTCGCTGTATACGACCGAGGAGAAGAAGTATAGCCTTAGGAAGCTATGCACGAGATTAGCGGACTATGCTCTGGAAATTACCATCTCTCTCGACTGTTTGAATGACCTCCAAGTCTGCTTACAGTATGAGAACTTCATCGTGCATTCCCATGTAGACGGGGACCATAGTACGTTTCGCAGGTGAATGCACCACATTCATAGAGAGCTAATTATGTCCAGGCTACTATTCGTGGCGAAAGCTCGGAGATGTTATATCCTCAATATATGCTCTAGGCTACCATGAGAATCTCGATGAAAAGCCCGATACACCTCGCTTCTTGACCGAGCTACGCAAAGCTGTCTTTGCCCGCGTGTATTCGGCGGACAAAAATGTTGCCATCTTTGTCGGTCGACCGCCTCGCATGAATAGACAGTTCTGCTATTTCCAGATTCCATCAAGTCCGCTTCCCGATGACGTTTGGTTTATCTCCTCTGACAATCCGGACGGGGTCGATGCTCCTTTCAGCTGGGACCCGTCGACTAAAGCGAGCTATATGGCTGAGACTCGATGGACTGCATTGTGTGCTGGGGTAAAAGAGGATATACTCAACTTGCAGAGGAGCCGACCTAGTGATATAGAACTTTTCTATCAACGGGTTGCGTATGTTTTAGTTACAACAGGCGGATAACTGTGTATGACTGACGGAATCAGTGACATCAAAGCTCAGGCTGAAAAGAATTACTCTTCACTGCCTCCGCATTTTCAGTTCCGCAACAATCTCAGAGACAGTACACTGAGCACCTTCGAACGCGACTTCATCGGCTCAGTGCAGCTGAATCACTTGCACGCGCTCTTTCTGCTGAATCTCCTCCTGCTAAGTACTCCTACTGAGCCAGATCCCACCCTCGTGGACATTGCCGAACAGATTCTCTCGGTAACAGTGGACATGGTTCTCTTACGTGACCAACTTACAAACTCTGGAACATGTCTCCTGTGGAAGGTATGTGTCTAGTTCTTTACCCAGCTCGTACCGTAGCCTTGGGGTGACTGTAATTTGAGCAGGTCGCCTATCACTGTCTCCCCGCTGCGGGAATCCTCCTCCTCGCCCTTCTCAATGAGCGGGCCACTCCCAGCATGCCCCGTATAACACGACCCCGAACACTCCAGCACCTGACAATCCTCGCTGCGGAGATTCAAGCCGGATCGATCATTCGGCCTCAAGAACCCAACTATGAGCTAATGTCCAAGGCCATGCAAACGATCCAGAGCTTCCTGGATTCAGTCACTTCTGAGCTCATGCACCCTGTGTCAGACATGACACCTCGCAGTCCGAACCTTATCGAATGGTCCAGCTTTCCTTACCAGCAATCCTTAGACTTTGAGATTGGATTCTGGGAGAGTCTCGCTGACCATCCGCTACTGAGCTTCCAATCTGGGCTTATGGCACCGGAGTAAATAGTTCTTTCATGAAAATCTCTGCAAGCTAATACATATTGACACAATGAGAATGCGGTGAAGTGGTCACTTTCTATGAAACATTCAAAGTATATACCCCATGATCACGTGCCCGTGGGGCGCCGGGGTCGGGAAAACTCTAATTCTACAACACATGACGGAGGCCCGTGGGTATCGATTTAGATATCAGTAGAAACGATTAAATATCGTCTGGATTGCAGTGGACACGTACTAGTGTTGCTTATATCCCTGCATTTTCTAGACCCCTGTATCTGTACGGAGTTGGCACCTTTCGCCTCCATCCCAGCAACAAGTGTCCCAACCCGGGTCCATTTCCCCCCGCTCAATCCAGTGTGATCCACGCTCAGCTGTCCACAATGGAGTCGGAACTCCAAGCACAGATCCCCGGTCTCGACCGCGTGGTATCAGAGTACTCCGTGGGGTACCTGACCCATGCCTCCAAGGCCTATGTGGAAGATGCCAACGCTCCGTCGCCACTGGCCGAAGCGGCCGATATGGTCACCGAGCTCCTCGTCTCCGCATCGGGCGACTTCACCTCCGAGAATGAACAGGCCATCCGCAACTTGGTCGAAAAGTTCATCTCCTCCTTGAGTGCCGCTGATGGAGTCGACGCCGAGCGTCGCCAGATGCCCTTTGCCGCCAAGAAGCTCGACCAGGCCATCAATGTCGGCTCCCAACGCAACATGTCTTCTACTCTGGGTCTTGCCGGAGGTAACGTCGATCTGGAGTCGGCTAATGCCAGAAAGGTCGAGTCTAAGGTCGACCGCAAGAAGCTCGAGAAGGCCGAACGCAAGATTCGTGCCAAGCAGGAGAAGAAGCAGATGAAGACAGTGCAATACGAATCATCCCGACTCCTCAACCAGCCCGACAGTACTATGTCTTACGAAGAGTTCTTCATGGCTGTCAACCCTCTACAGCTGGGCTCGGACTCCCAGTCCAAGAGCAAGGACATCAAGGTGGACAGCATCGACATCTCCGTTGGTGGTCACCGTATCTTGACAGACGCTTCCCTTACCCTGGCGTATGGTCGTCGCTACGGTCTCGTCGGTCAGAACGGTATCGGAAAGTCTACTCTGTTGCGTGCACTCAGTCGCAGAGAAGTCGCTATTCCCAGCCACATCTCCATTCTTCACGTCGAGCAGGAAATCACAGGAGACGACACACCCGCTCTCCAGGCCGTCCTTGACGCCGACGTATGGCGCAAGCGCCTCCTTGCCGACCTGGAAAAGATCACCAAGCAGCTGGCAGACATCGAAGCAGAGCGATCCTCCATGGCAGACACGTCCAAGGATGCCGCCCGTCTGGACCACGAGCGCGAGGGTCTCGACATCACACTGAACGACATCCATTCCAAACTTGCCGAGATGGAATCCGACAAGGCCGAGTCCCGAGCCGCCAGTATCCTGGCTGGTCTCGGTTTCTCGCCTGAGAGACAGCAATTCGCAACGAAGACCTTCTCCGGAGGTTGGCGTATGAGATTGGCTCTTGCCCGTGCCCTTTTCTGCGAACCCGATCTCCTCCTGCTGGACGAACCGTCCAACATGTTGGACGTGCCATCCATTACCTTCCTTTCCAACTACCTCCAAACATACCCCAGTTCCATCCTGGTCGTTTCTCACGATCGAGCATTCCTCAACGAAGTCGCCACCGACATCATCCATCAGCACTCCGAGCGTCTCGACTACTACAAGGGCGCCAACTTCGACTCCTTCTACGCCACCAAGGAAGAGCGCAAGAAGAACGCCAAGCGCGAATACGAAAAACAAATGGCCGAGCGTGCCCATCTCCAAGCCTTCATCGACAAGTTCCGCTACAACGCCGCAAAGTCCTCCGAAGCCCAATCCCGTATCAAGAAGCTCGAGAGAATGCCCATCCTGGAAGCTCCCGAGAGCGACTACGTCGTGCACTTCAAGTTCCCCGAGGTCGAGAAACTCTCTCCCCCGATCGTCCAAATGTCCGACATCGCCTTCGGATACACCCCCGACCGCCCCCTCCTCCGCAACGTGGACCTCGACGTACAACTCGATTCGCGTATTGGTATCGTTGGTCCCAACGGTGCCGGTAAGACTACTGTGCTGAAGCTCCTCACCGGCCAACTCCAACCGACAAAGGGTCTCCTCTCGCAACACGCCCGCCTGCGCGTCGGTTTCTTCGCCCAACATCACGTCGACGCTTTGGACCTGACCACCAGCGCCGTCAGCTTCATGGCCAAGACCTACCCCGGAAAGACAGACGAAGAATACCGCAGACACCTCGGTGCCTTCGGTATCACAGGTATGACGGGTCTGCAGCGCATGGAGCTCCTGTCCGGAGGTCAGAAGTCCCGTGTCGCCTTCGCTTGTCTGTCGTTAACGAACCCCCACATCCTGGTTCTGGACGAACCGTCTAACCATCTGGATATTGAGGGTATGGATGCGCTGTCCGAGGCGCTGCAGAACTTCGAGGGTGGTGTGGTGATGGTCTCTCACGATGTTACGATGCTGCAGAACGTTTGCACTAGTCTCTGGGTTTGTGATAACGGTACGGTGCATAAGTTTGATGGCTCTGTCAATGCTTATAAGAAGTTGATTAGCTCTCAGGCTAATGAGGCGGGTGTTGTTGCTGCTCATTAAAGGGGGGGTGGTAATGGGCTCACTAGTAATGATAAAAAATTATGGACTATTCTCAACGATGCATGGTTTCTTCTTTTACGTAGTAGCGGTTGATGTTTGCTGAGTCGTAGATTTCTGTACCTGGTCTCATATGCTACAAAATAGTTACTACGTTCTACCGTGGACTAGTTAGTGGTCGGAAGGCATAGCTGGCCGCTGCATGCTCATTCCGAGTCATTGAACTAGCCACTCCAGAATGAAAGGAGAGCATACGGTATCTTGCAGGATTTACTACTTGGGATCATATTAAGGGTTCAATGGTTATCGCCTCTAATAGGTTTTTTTATGTAAGCACTATTGAATTGAACTTAAAACATTCAAGCAACGAACCTGCTCCGCTCGGATATATAATTCCGCTGTACTTCCCAACCGTAGTACTCCTGTAGTGATAGGTTTCAGCAATCCGGACCAACACTTTCACTAGGAACTTTCTAGTAAGTATTAAATATAGTCATATGAGCCACAGGAAAAAAAAAAAAAAAAAAAAAAAAAAAAAAGTAGTGTTGAATTTCCTTCTTCTTGATTGGTCACAAGAGATCTAGAGGAAGGAGAAAAAGCGCCAAAAAAGAAAAAGAAAGGGCCGAACGCGATTTGAACGCGTGACCTTAAGATCTGCAGTCCCACGCTCTACCCCTGAGCTACCGGCCCTTCTTGTTGTTTGGTTTGCTATTTTGTTTGACTCTTAACCAGACAATTACTTGAAGGCTATGCGTGTTCTTGGTCTCCTAGCAACAGGCTCAGATTACATGCAGAAGGAGTGTCTTTTCCTATCGTCAGTAGTGGTTGTGATGTCTATGATTGAGTGCGCTTTACTTTCGTATTTAGTCTCTCCAGTTGTATAATTACCAATATTCCTAGTAGCTGGGTTTTTTTAGATCAATTGTAGCCATCTCTTCTACGTAGATTCGTTTACAGACCAGCATCCGAAAGACTCGTCATCGCATCTATTTGAAGACATAATGCAGTAGGATCATATATACTATGCTGATAAGTATTTACTTATATACTATACAATCCACCCAATCTAGAACCCCTCATCATCACCGCTATCGCCATCGCCATCAATATCCATATCATCATCCTCGTCGTCAAGTCCCTCGAAGCTCATGAATTGCTCGTTCTTAGCATCGGTTTCTTCCTCAACCACGACGCCATCTTGGATTTCACAGTCCTGTAAAAGAAGTTAGTACAAAACTTGTGATACATGGTTTAGCATTATTCAGACGCACCTTGAGTACGGAATCCTTTCCGATCTGACTGTATCTGCCGACTATGTAATTGTCAATCATGGTCCTTATTCCCTTGAGTCATTTCAATTGTAGAAGACTTACCGATACATCCTGTAAGGACACACTTGGGTCCGATGACTGCGTTGTCCATGATGACACACCTGATTCATGTTAGAGACTAGGAGGTGGATTCTAGATCCGTGGAGCTTACCTCGTGAGACGTGCGCCACTGCAAATCTTGGCGTTGGCTGAAATGCAGGACTCCTTGATGACACACTTTTCCTCGACCTTTGCATTTTGTTAGTGTTGAAATATATGACACTTGAAGGTTCAGAATGCTTACCGTTACATTGGACCCCAACAAGCAATCGCCCTTTGTGACGATAGACTTCGAAGCGACTGCTTCCGGAGTAGCAATCTTCGCGGCATGACTGAATGGCGAGGCAGCAGCGCGGCCAACCTCTTCAACAGACTCGAGCTTGGCAAGACGCAGAGACATGGCCAACACCAAGGCAGCACTGTCCACGCGCCGAATGAGTTGCTTGGACGACTTGGTCGTGTATGCGAGGATGGGCGGAACTTCCACAGAGGACTCGGTAGATTTCGTGCTGCGGGACTCGGAACCCTGAGCGTGCGTAGTGGTCATGCTGCGAAGGTCGATTTCCTCCTCCAAAGAGTCACCATCATTGCTTCCATGATCATCTTGAGTCTCCTTCTGTCCGCCCACGATCTCATCGATGCCGAGCTTGGCGCTCAGTCCACGCTGCCACCCCGCTTTCGCCCAGTAGCCGATCAAGTCCTCACTTACGGATTCGAAGCGCTCCTGGTGCTGTGCGAGCGATCGAACCCACTTAGGCAGAATGTACAGGTGTGCATCGCGGTAGCTGGTCAACATCTTGACCGAGGCATGCTTCTCCACCAGGGTATGACGAAGCAGAAGCCCCTTATCATTCTCTACCTGCTCTTTCAAGGTATCCATGGGCATTGACAGGACGAGTTTTGAGAGCTCATGACGCGAGACAGAAGGCACCTCATCCTGGTCGAGAGAAGTAATCGCCACAAAATCGGTAGGCTCTTTCTTGATCTCATCTTGGATGCCTTTCGCGGGATAGAACACGGACAGACCTCCTTGGGCAGCGGGTCCCAATTCACTCTGCGAGGCAAGCCATGCCTCAAGCAAATGCTCGCCAGGGATATCGCACAGCAGATCACAACTCAACAGCAAGAAATTGGATTGGATGCAAGCTTGTACTTCGGGTAGACGCAGTAGTTCCGCGGTTCCTGTCGTCATCTTGAGGTCCTTCGGAGCAATGATCGTGGGGGAGGGCGAAGAGAGTGACGTGAGGTAGGGGTTCTGTTGTAGAGCGGCCTTGAGGGGAGCCAGAGCGGAGGGAGGTGTGATCAAGACGATATCTGAGCCGTTAGTCTTTCACTTCAGCAAAGACCGCAAGATCCAACGGCCTCAAGAAGGCGCATTGTCGTCGCTCACCATGTATTCCTGCGCGCTTGCACCAATCCAGCGGGTAGTATACCATCGGCCTGAGCTGCGCATTCATTGGTATTAGTGACTGCTTGGTCTGAAGTCCCGCGCGGAGAATTTGCCAATACATACAGCGATGGGGATTAAGCATTTTGGGTTTTCTTCGGGATTAGAGGAGATGGTGTTCAAGCTCTCACCAGGACCACAGAGGATCAAGGCTTGGAAGCCACTGCTCGGTACTGGCGTGGCGTGGACCATGTTGGTTTGCGATTCCGAATTTCTGGATGACTATGACAGAACCCCGCGGACAATGGTGGTGGGGTTGAAGACAGGGATTGGGAGCACTTGAAGGTGCAGGGGCTCGAGACAAGTGCTTTGAAGTTATCCTCAAATACTGTCAGACAATTAAAATGAGCGACTGAAAGTTGCAAACTTGCAATGATTGTCAAATGCCTTCCGCAGGAGGAATAAGTGCGAAGCGCAAGAATGGATTGTGATAATAATTCATCTCCGCCCGAAATTTTGCCCTCGGTCACCGCTGTCATGCCGACAAACAGAACAAAAAGTCTCACCGCCTAGACTAATTATACTACTGTAGTCAATTATCCTGTGAGAGTCTAGGCACTGCAGTCTAGCCATGATTTTACCTCCTTCCTGCAAGTCATGCATCCGGACTGTTCCTGTCCAACAATTGGCGCGGGCCCCAAGACTACTACTTACGTATTGGCGCAGATTTGGCTTTTGGAGTACTTGTTCGGGACAACTCAGCAGATTGAGGGTGGGATGCGAGTGCGCCATTTACTGACCGTTTCTTACCCACTGTTCAGGAAAACGAGTGTGTGGGTTATGATGCATTTTACCCATAGGAAATGCTAGCTTACTATTATGTCTCGCACTGTGAACTGAGAAAGAGTGGAAAGAGTCGCTTGTTCTGGTATTATTCGCTATTTTTGATGTTGCACATAAACGTCTCTCTAGCAAGTTGAAACAGCGCTGCATCTTGCCTCCAATCCTTCCGGTTTAGTTGGGTCCGTAGTGCTTGATGAAGTACTTGGTCATGGAAATGACCGGCTCCGGCTCAAGACCCTTATCCCGGCGGGCCTCGTCCTTGAGTGACTGGCAGGTTGCGAAGTCGTCGGGGTTGCCGAAGAACCAGCCATTGTTGTTCTGGGTGTATTTGAAGACGTCCTGCAACTCAATGAGGACAGTGCTACCATGGGTTGGGAGGTCATCCGCCGAGGCCATGGGAACGTAGCGAGCTTTCTTCCCCGTGACTGCGACACCAGTCAGCAATTCCCAGAATAAGTCGAATCGGAAACTTACCCTCAGTGAACGTCTTCACCATATCCTCATATGTGAACGCATCACTCACGCACTGAATGGTCTTATTTTTCCACTTCAGCGGGTTCAGGAACATTCCGTGCACCATCTCACCAAAATCGTCCTCAATGGAGACCGTTTGGACCTTGCCTTCGCCGCCCACCAAGGGAGCGTGCCAGGTCAGGTAGCCCTCGTCGTCTGGGAACATAGGGAAGCCACCGAAGGCCTGCGCATACTCGGGAGTGACATAGTTCTCAAAGTACCACCCGGGGAAAGCGCCAATGACGGCGTCGAATTCCTTGAAGGTTCGAGCATACAGCTCACATCGGTGTTTGGCTGTAGGGAGCAAAAGTCAGACGTGGAGAGGAAGAAATCGAAGGTGAACATACCATCCATGCCCGGAACGGGCGCGACGCCTTTGGTGAATATCGCAGGAGACTCGCAGGTACTGTAAATGAAGACCTTTACGCCTGCCTTGGCCGCAATCTCGATGAGGCGGTTGCCGAGATCTTCGTCAGTCGGGCCACCGGGTTGCGTTACCGCCTGGAAGCTGGCGATCAGCATGTGGTTCACCGTGTGTGGTATCTTCGTAATCATGAAGGCCACTTACTGGGTCATGGTGGTGGGTGTTGAGCCAGAATCCCCAGGCGCCAGACAGGGCATTCTGCATGTCGTTATCGTTGAATCCATCAGCCTTGACCACCTCAGCCCCTAGCCGGGCCAATTCCTTCGCCTTTTCCGACTGGGGGTTCCGAGTTAGTGCCCGGACGGCGAAGTTCTGCTGGCTCTTGAGGAGGGAGAGGGCGACGGATCGCCCCTGGACACCTGGGTAGTGTTAGACTTGTACACAAGGCAAATGACGCTGCCAGCCTGACTCACCAGTGGCACCGTAAACCACGATCACTTTCTGCAGAGGAGCCATACTTATACGCCAACAATGCGAGACAAGGAGGCTGAGATGAACTAGAATGGGAAATGCTCGAGATAGACAACCGAAGAGACTTGACAACGTTGTCAGACGAAGTCCTGAGGGGAGGACGGTATATTTGTATTCATCAAGGGTGCCTCCTCGCCAGAACGTCTACCCCTGCGGTGAGACAACTTCATAAGCCGTGGAACTAATTGGGTTGAGCAAGTTAGAGAGGGACAGGCTGTTCGGCTGACCCGAAGACGTTCAAGCCAACAGGGCGAATGGTGTCTGCATGTCGCATATGCGCGTATGGCAGCGATGCAGCTGCGGCTTTTCCAGCATTCGGCCTCAATGAGGAGGAAGGATGGTGGGGAGAGTCCGTCTGCATGGTGAGACAAAGAGGACTTCGATCAATGGACAGATAAAGCCGTGGACTTGGTTTAAAACCTGTTTTTGAGTCACAATTGATGCGCTTCATTTCTTGGGAAGACGACGCTCGCAGGCGGATGCAGAGCGAGTTTTCCTGTCCACTGGTTCGCTTTTGTAGGTACCGACTTCCTTGAAAGCTTACTGTACATTTTCAGCCATCTGGCCCGGCCAAATAGCATATAATAAGGCATAGTCCTTTGTGTTAAGCTAGAACAAAGTCGAGTTCATAGGCCGGATTATGATACATGCGAGTTGTACTACTACTCTACCACTGGAGGCGGGGGAATCTCAGACACGCTCGATGAGATCATACGACAATTGCTTGTCTCACTAGCCCCTCTAATGCAGTCATTATATCTTAATGTCCTGCTGCCTGTATTAGTAGATTGATACTGATTCGGTAGTCTTGAATCACATGTGTGGACAGTGTATATATATAGTCGGAAACCATCTTCTGTTAGTCGCTCGGGCCATCAGGCGTTGGGCGCAAGCCGCAGGTATGCCTTATCTAGGTAGTGCAAGCAGGATCAGTCTGGACAGTTGCGGGGACGAGGGAACAACTAGTGAACGTTAACAATGTTCTGGTCCGGTCTACTGATGCCAGTGATGTGCGTCCCCTACATAATACATTCGAATATGGATTGGTCCAGCCAACAGGGCCGGTGTGCCGCAGCACTCTAGTCTTCCATGCTGGTGCTCAAAAAAGCAGTGAACAAGTAGATTGGAAACCCTCAAGAAAGGACTACTGCTGCAGGCATGTCACTGAGCTAAATAGAAGTGAAGTGAATCGATAGTTAAGTAGTCCATAGATAACTGCTATTCCATGCTATACCACGTGACTGCACCTATCATCACGTGCAGATACCCGCTCACGTCACTGGCAACCAGGCACCATCAACAACAGATCGCCAGTCGCACCAACACTAACCGGCACAGCAACAATATCCGTCTTTTTGACGGAGTCACCCGAACGACCCTACGGTGACCACATCCATCACAAAAACCTATATTATTCTTGAAAGTCTGCGACTCCGAGCCATGGACTAATCCCTTGTTGCATCATCGTCTTCACACCATTCTTGCTTCCAACGCTAGCAACAAACTTGAGATCTTCGCAGCAATGGACGAGGTCAGCCCCATTGCCGAGCTTCTGGGCCAGGCCATATATCACTTCACACAGATCAAACCTTTGCTACCAACTTACGGTCATCTGCTTGTCTCCGCCCTCTTCCCAATCTACATTGGCGCCCATGCATCCCTGTCGAGACCGTCATCGGCTGCAAAACCCGAGAAGTCAGACGAAGATGGAGACGAATCAGAAGAGGAAGCTGGTGGTATTCAGAAGATGGAGGGACTTGCACCAAGTGACGCATTGATGTTTCCATTGACGGCTGGCTTAACCCTTGGAGGCTTGTATCTGGTCATCAAGCACATGGGCGCTGAACTTCTGAATAAGATACTTGGCTACTATTTCTCCCAGATGGGTATGCTCTTTGCTATAGCTTTCCTGAAAGACTCCTTCGCTGTCGTGAGATCATTCGTCTTTCCCCGCGAGTACAGCAGCTCTGGCAAAGTTTGGAAGACCAAGTCCACCCAACGTATTTTTGAAAACGCTTCGGTGGATACCTCTAAATCGGAGTCTTCGGAGGTGGAGGTCCGGAACTCTCCCCTTCCTGGGTTCTGGGGGTCAATCCCATTGCCACATACTGCTCGCGCAGCACTCTGGACTTGCCGTGAAGTAGTATATTGGCGCGCTAAGCTTAGGATCCATATACATCGTGTTTTCCGCACTGAATGTTGGCTTAGTATCTTGGACATTATCAGCATAGCTGTATCATTCCCTACGATTGGTTACTTCACTTTCGTGTCTAAGCCATGGTGGTTGACTAATTTCCTGGGATTCAGTTTCTGCTATGGTACCCTGCAATTTATGTCGCCGTCTACTTTCATCACCGGATCGCTGATCCTGGGATCTTTGTTCTTCTATGACATTTATTTTGTCTATTTCACGCCACTGATGGTGACGGTTGCAAAGACCTTAGACGTCCCGATCAAGCTCCTATTTCCGCGCCCTGCGGCCCCCGGGGAGGCACCCGATACCATATCCCTTGCTATGTTAGGATTGGGCGACATCATCATTCCCGGCATGATGGTGGGTCTGGCACTTCGGTTCGATCTTTACCTATACTACAAGCGCAAGGGCCAGCAAAAGGCGCTATCAGAGGGCAAGGGCTCGGAAATAGTCAAGCCTGTATATCAGTCCGCGCTAGGAGGATGGGGAGAACGTTTCTGGACCCGTTCCGTGGCACCAAGCAAGCCGCAGCTGGACCCTCCCTACCACAATGCCCGATCTTTCCCTAAGCCTTATTTCACCGCCAGTCTGGTTGGCTATGTCCTGGGTATGCTTGCGACGTTGATCGTAATGCAGGTATTTGATCATCCCCAGCCCGCGCTCCTGTACCTTGTACCTGGGGTCCTGATCTCTCTGTGGGGAACTGCATTGGTGAGAAAGGAAATCCACGAGATGTGGGAGTTCAGCGATGCGGAAGAAGACGAGGAAGAGGAGGCGACTGCGGATAATAAGGAAGCAAAGGATCCGGCTGAGAGTGGCGGACAAGCATCCATCTTCTCCCGTATCTTCTCCAAGCCCCAAGATTCCCCCTCCACCAATGCTTCCAAGGAGGCTGCGGAGAAACAGGCGTCCGAGGATTCCGCCAAAGACGAAGATGATGCCACGAAGAACATCGAGCTGTTCACTATTTCCTTGTATCACCCTCGGAAGCAACAGCAACAGTCAGACGAGACCCAGAAACCCACGGAACGTGTTTCGTCCCCGGAGGACGATGAGAATTGGGCCATTGTTGGTGCTGACCGGGATGCTGAACCTCCCGCAAAGCGACTGCGTCGGAGTCCCAGATACGCAGCCGACAAGCATTAAGAGGTTAGCCACTACCAACTTATGATCTAGATAACGCTAGAGTGCAAATTCACTATTAGATTATCCACTGTGTACATCTTCAAAGTAGAACTGTATAGTAATTCGCATTGGTAGACGCACGTGTGACCCCCACGTGACTTCCCCGGACCTGGCAGTGCGGAGTAAATCCAAGTAGTTCGGGAGTCCTGAATCCCCGACAGCTTCACCTCAATTCCAATCTCAACCCACCCCAGTCACTTCTATATTCTCACTCTAATCGGGCACACGCCCTAATCTCACAGCCCAAGCGGTGCGGGCTACAACCCTCCTCTTCCACACCCAACGCACGACACAGCAATGGATTTCTACACCTCCCCTCATAACCACACCAAGAACCCCGGATCGGCCGTCTCCCCAACCGCATCCGCAACCACATCGACCCGCGAACCCAAGCTCCAACTCCCCTCGACCACCGACCCCCCGGGCCCCTCGAACCCCCCGAAGCCCCTCGTATGGCTCATCTTCGGCGCAACAGGCCACATGGGCCGGTCACTCGTCAAAACCGCGCTATCGCGAAATGACCTCGTCAGCGCCGTAGGCCGCACCTTCGAAACCACCCCGGCAGCCATGTCCAAGCTCGAAGAAGAACACCCCAACAAGTGCCTCGGACTACTCTGCGACGTGCGCGCGCGCCCCACCGTCCAACGCGTCATCGACGCCACGATCGCGCGCTTCGGGCGCATAGACATCATCGCCAATTGCTCCGGGTACGGTGTAATCGGGGCGTGCGAGGACCAAGATGAATACGATATCCGGGACCAGTTCGAGACGAATTTTACAGGCACGCTGAATATGATTCAGTTGTCGTTGCCGCACTTCCGGGAGCGCGGGGCCGGGCGGTACTTGATCTTCAGTTCTACGTCGGGGGCTCTGGGAGTGCCGGGATTGGGGCCGTACTGTGCGAGCAAGTATGCGGTTGAGGGGTTGATGGAGAGTATGCTTTATGAGGTGGATCAGTTTAATATTAAGACGACGCTGGTGGAACCGGGGCATATGAGACGCGATGATGTGGGGGATTTGGTGGGTGGTGGAGAAGAGAATATTTTTGGCGGTGGTGGGTATGGCGTGGAAGACGAGCAGGATAGTGCTAATAAGTTGGCGCTGGGGTCGCCATTACCGCTTTATGGCCATTTCTTGGTCAAGCCGCCGAGTGAGCCGTATAATACACCTACGGCGCCGGCGGCGCATGCGAAGCGCATGCTCATGTGGTTGGGGGATAAGCAGCCGGCAAGTGCGGTTAAGGCTGCGCATTTGGTGTGGCAATTGGGGCATTGTTCGTATCCGCCGTTGAGGTTGATCTTGGGGACATATGCCGTGGAGAGTATTCGGGATCGCTTGAAGTGTATTATCGAGGAGATTGAGGATTGGAAGTATCTCAGTTTTCCGACGGGGGAGCAGCAGGGGCAGCAGCAAGGGCAGGGGAAGGATAAGGGCCCTGCTTCTGTATCGGGGGGCCGAGAGGGCGATGAGATGGATGTGAAGTGATGATACACATTCAACTGACTACGGTCACAATAGCTGATTGAGCAGCGAATCCCGCGAAATCAACGCTGCAAGAATAGGGCCACTGCATATAAAGCACCGCTGGAGTACGGGAACCTGAACTGGATATTGCATTGCAGTCACTCCGCAGCCCTGAAGAGGGACCTGCTCGAATACCCCATGGCGATGCACAGGAACCGCCATCTACAACGATCTCGATGCCCCGGACAGGCAGGCAAACCAGCGCGTGCTGGTAAGACATGAAGAAGTAGCGCTACACTGGAATGACTCCATGAGTAATGAAATTAAAGACATGATACTATACATTACACATATATCATCTACACTATACTATACTATATACTATACAATACTACATTATACTATGATATTATATACACTACAACCTACACCTACACATCTAACCACAAACCGGCCCATCAAACCCCCTCGTCCACCCCAACGAACCCACAATAACAACCACAAACCCCAACGCAACACCCACACTAACCACTCCGTAAACATACGCCGCCCATCTCTTCCTCCCTCCCACAGCCCCAAGGGCACTCAACTCCGCGACCCAAGTACTAATAGTCGTCGCCGACCCACAAAACCCATCCATAACCCCCTGCAAGACCTGACACGCGGTCAACACACCACCACCAATCCCCGCGACATGCTGCAAATCAAAACACATAGCCAACACCACCGTCCCAAAGACATTCACCGCAAAAGTGCCCAACGGGAAACTCGGCAGCCTCGCATTGAGCAACAAAGACACATAAAACCGCAGAAAACACCCCAACGGGGCAAACACAATCGCAAACACCGCCCGGCCACGCCATACCTCCATCCCCTTCGCATCATGTCGATCCGGCGGCCAGATCGCCAAAAACACCGCGCCGAGCCAACACCCCCAACCCAACACCGCCATAACGGGATCCAAAACCCGTCTCGTGAACCGGAACGGAACCGTAGGAGTGACCCCATCCAGCGCGGCAGCAAGATGCGTCCCGAACAACAAAGCACATAAGCTCAGCGAAACAGTACTAAGAATAACAGCCACCAGAGCCATGAAACTATACCCCCCATTCCTCGACACAATATGTCCCTCGGAGGAAGAATTGGGCAAATCATTCGTCAACGCGAGAAACACATCGCGAATAAACGACGAGAAGGATGTAAAACACCCGCAGAACCCTGTCGTGAGACCGATATACAGCGGGATGGTTTTCTTGATGGTTTTATGCTGTTTTGCCTGCTCGGCGGCATCACTTGTATTGTTGTTGTTATTGTTATTGGGCGTACCCCACTCCTCGCGAAATAGTCTCCGATCCTCCTGGAAAAACCCCATCAGCAGGGAGCCGCCGACATTAGCCCAGAGGACGCCGGTGACTATGGGGGCACCCGGGTAGAAGGTTAGGGCTTGCAGACCGAGACGGGCGAGAGTGCCGAAGATGGCGAAAAAGATTAGGTAGGAGATGGTGTAGAATTGGGTGAGCTTGTGAGAGGTGGGGTGGAGGATGGGTTCGGAAGGTTGCGCTTGGGGTGCGGATTCGAGTGGTGGTGAGGAGGGTTTCTCGTCCATGTTGGGGGTGCTGCTGGTCGCGGCGGCGGCGGCGTTTGATGATGCGCTTGGGTCTGCGGGCGCGGGGGCGCCATTGGGGGTGGTGGATGTGGGCAGTGACATGGTGAGGACTGCGATTGTTGTTGGGGTGTTAGCGCATTGTGATGGTATGGTGTGGTGTAGTGGATTGGTGGTGGTTAGATGGTGTAGAAGGATTTGTTCTAGTCGAGGGATGAAATGATGGTGTTTATCGGAGATAAAAAGTTGGTTGGTGGGATCCCGCTCGGCATTCTTTCCGATGTAACTTGGTACTACTTAGTGTACACTGCGGTCTAGTCAGGGTATTCTACGAGATTTATTTGAATTCGCAATAAGCATACATACTCGGAATCAACTATTCACTAGCACAAACGCGCTCACACTGGAAGTCAGCCGATTCCCGGACCGTTACATCCAACCAAGGGGGCATCGGAGAGCTCCAATTCAAGTCGGTGCATGAGAGGAATAAAGCAGATTTCAAGTCATGAACTTTTCATCACTGGAGCCATCATTGTACTGTGTAGGTTCATAGAAAAAAAAAGGTGGTATCACAGGGAAGAGAGATGCACCAGGTTGGATTCATAGCAAACAATCCAGGTATCCAATTCCAGCCCAACCGCCAGCCAGTCAAACAAGAGAAACGCCATACATCCGCCGCACGAGGAAAAGGAAAATAGTGATATGAAGGAGCGGTCAAGCTGCAGATTGCAGAACTAAATGCGATACAGTGACCAATAAGAACAAAGAAACAAACTGTAAGGAAGGGAATCGATCCTCATTTAATAAGTGAGGGACTGTCATTCGTCAGACTGGCTAAATAGCACCAGGCAGTGACCTGCTCGCACGGCGCCGAGCGCTGATAGCAAGCACCACTAAGCCTTCTCCATTCCTGTCATAGAGACATCTTGAGGGGATGGCTCCTGGATTGGGGCCTTGATGTCCGCCGGGTACGGCTCATCCTGCTCTCGGGGTGGAGCCTCGATCGGCGCTTTGCCCTCTGAGCGCTTCCGACCCAATTTCTCACACCAGTGCTCAGCGCTGACCAGGGTGTCATTGACTACACCGCTAACCTGCGACATCATGTCCAAGCCCTCCTGGGCCAAGACGAGGATCCGATGGGCGCTAACGGTGGCGTCGGATGCCGCCGCCATGGAGTCCGGCGGCGGGTTGGAGGTCGACGCGATCTGGAACCGATGCGGCAGTGAGGTCAGATGCCGACGCACCAAATTCCGCGCATTCTCCGGGAGCGCTCCCCCGGCATATTTGGAGACAATGTCCACCACGCGTTTCAGCGTCGCGAGCACATCCGCCTTGACGGCTTGAATCCGATTCGAGAGGAGGGTAGTGCTGGAAGCGTCCTGCTCTGCAGTAGAGTCGCCATTCTGCTGTCTCGAGCTATCCCATTCTTTCAGGGCGGCCTTGAGAGCCTCGATCGCTTTGTCCAGCCGTCCGTTCGCCCAGCGTAGCCAGGTCAGACAATATTGCAGGCTCCGGAGCGATTCCTCACTCATGGCCACACCCAGGCCGGATGTCGAGATCATCAGTCGGCTCTGCCATGTGGACGGAGTCTGCCGCGATGGACTGTCTCGATTGATGTCGTCATAATTGGGGGACCTCTGATCATCGTAGGGTGGAGGTCCCTCTCCCGGCGACAGCCTCATCGCCAGTTCTGGACCCTTCTCTACGTCGACCTCCGTAGACTGTTGCTCGTTGCTCACCTTACGGCGTTTAGAGCGACTAGACTGGGCGGACGAGGATACCCGACGCTGTAAAGCCCACCGAAGGCCACTTTCCACGCCAGTCTTCCGACCTACAGTGCCAACGGTGTTGGCGACGGGAGAGCCGATGTTGCGCTCGAGGAATTCGGCGCTTGACTTGAAACGAGGGGAATAGGATTTAGAATTGGTATATGCCGACACAGAGCCGTTGATAGCGGACGAGATGAGGGGATGGGTGGAGGTGAGTAGAGATAGCAACGGCTCTGGTTGCTGCTTGGATTCGGGACGATTCATTTGCGACGTTCGCGGCGATTGACCGTAATCTAAAACCATCAACTGTTTAAAACTCAACCGGGACAGGCCAAGGGCAAGGGACGAAAAGGACATACCAGTACGAAGGCCCTCCAGGGCTTGGGCGGCTTCGATATCATCCATGGATAGTACACTGGTGGCTCGACGTGAACGGTCGTCCGCTACGGTAGAGTGATCGACGTCCATCATGGGGGGAGGAACATGATGAAAAGGGGTATAGGCAGTGGGAGGGGCGGAGTCAGATGAGGAGTCGGTTGAGGGTGAGGCCGTAGATAGCGCTGAAGTATGAGGAGGGCCAGTGGGCGCAGAGACGGCGTCTGGGCGCGCAGAGAGGGAGGTTTTCGGGACCGACCTGCCGTTGGAGCGGTGGTCCATGGCTGACCCGGAGGCCCGAAAAAGGAAAGAAGGTAATGGATGGAGCCTGAAATTGGCTCTAGTGGGAGTAAGGGGAGAATGAGAATTGAGGAGTAAGACCGGATGGCAATGGGCGTGGGAGGAGGGACGAAGATCCCTTGTCGGAAGTTGTTCTGAGTTGCGATGGGATGATTGATTGCTGCTTTCTGGCTGAGGTTGGGGCACTTTCACGTGCAATCAATCCCGCACTGGGAAATTCTTCCCCCGCGCAGTTTGCTTAAGCACTTTTCTTTCCTCCACTTAAGTTACTTACTCCGTCACTAAGTAGTAGTTGTTGGTACTGAGAGTTTCAATGATTTATTCCATTCCTTACTGACTACCAGGGTATTACAAAATTGTCATACTGTCTTCAACATCCACATGTACCTCTTACGATCGATGTCTGTCCGGCACTTGCCAGAGGTTTTTCTCGTCACATGCGCGCGACTCGGAAGTCGGCCGTGGATTTTCACGTTCAGCCCATGAATCATGACTCGTCTCACCATCTGATCGTGGAAACTACTGAATCCAATCCTGCTCGGCGCCTAATTACTCCATTGTCCCAAACAGCATAATCACTGATAACTTTTAACTCTTTTCCGCCTTCACAACCCAATTCGATCGCTTTGACATGTGATGCCGCGTCATATTGCGCCGCCCCACCGCCTGCCTTCCTGGCGCCTTCCACATGACTCCTGCAAGATTTAGTTGACCACTTATCCTGACTCTTTCCATTTCTTGTTTTTGGATTACTCAGCCCTTAACATACACCTGTCGACCATAGTATTACGGTTGTTATGTCGGCAAGTGATTGATCATTCAAAGTGCCAGCCACTGATATGGATCATTACAATTGCCAGCAGTCTCACTCATTCCCTTTTTAGGGTGCTGCGTCGCCAACGCCTTGGCACGTGACCACAGACCGTCTTCCGGCCGAGTGAACTCTAGCCGCGTGATATCATGTGCACAAGTCGCTACGATTATGCTTTGCGTCCGAGGTGTATCCCACGCTGAAGCCGGGGGTGCTTTAGATACTGATGCTATGACTGACACATGGAAAGCAGTGACTTCCAGACTTTCCAGGTTTCATCTTCCAGCCAATAATCAGTTATTGATAGAGGTTACAAATTACACATCAGCCAAAGTCCCTAGCCGAATGGGGCACGGGAAAACAGATGGCTTGATCAATAAGATAATCCAGGTTATTAATATCAGATGTTTGGTACTTTTGCAACAGTAGTCCCAGCGGACCGTGCATCGTGTTGAAGACGAAACCAAATTCTTGCCTGAGTGTCAGAGGTCTGGATTGGTGAATTGGTTCTCATAGTCCGTGGGGGTGTTTCAAGTGCATTTGATGAGAAAGTGCCTAAAGTGCGGAGAGATTTGGTTGCGGTTTGGGGGTTAAGTTTGAGGTGTATTCTCCCATGCTTGACAGTAAATGGGAATAACTGTCTACTTTACTTGTGTCTGGTGTTCAAGGCCAAGCCTAGTCTAGATGAAGACTTGAGAATTTAAGACAACTAATTCTACTGTGTCAATCATAGACCCGCTATGTGACTGTTATCAATCTATTAAAAGCGGAGCATGAGTCACATGGCTGCCAGTCACCTGATCCGGCAGCGCCGATGCCGCATGAGATACAGCAGAAAGTCAACAGTTCCCAATCTTGGGTCTGCACCTTCTTGCTCCCAACGTCAATTCCAGCTGCCTGATCATCTATTGATCTTCAGGTCCCTTCGCTGGCGTCGCCTGTCCTTACCTTCCTCATCTTCTATTCATTTCCCCATCTCCCAACCCCAATTCCTTCAATTCGATGGCGTTCGCACGTCTCGCCGCCCGGCGGTTGCCCGTCGCCCGTGGGCTCGTCCCCAGCATTGACTCACTGCCCCAGCAGCGATTCTTCTCCATCTCGCAACATGTGAAGTCTCAGAATAAAGCTGCCGTGCCTAACCCCGATCCTGCTGCTGAATCCGTATCCGTGGCTTTCGTCAATGATCAATCGCCCTACATGTTGCCGACCTACGTGCGGCCGGCGCCGGTCATGGTCAAGGGCCAGGGATGTTACTTGTGGGATATGGAGAACCGGAAATACCTGGACTTGACGGCTGGTATTGCGGTCAACTCTCTGGGACACTGTGACCCCGAGGTGGCCAAGATTATCGCTGAGCAAGCCGAGGTGCTTGTCCACGCCTCGAACCTCTACTACAATGCGTGGACCGGAGCTCTCAGCAAGCTCTTGATCGACGTTACTAAGGAGTCCGGTGCCATGCGCGATGCTTCCCAGGTCTTCATTTGCAACTCCGGAACCGAGGCCAACGAGGCCGCCATCAAGTTTGCTCGCAAGGTCGGTCGTTCGCTCGACCCCTCCGGCGCGAAGCACGAAGTCGTCTCCTTCCACAACTCCTTCCATGGCCGCACCATGGGCGCTCTGTCTGCAACCCCGAACCCCAAGTACCAGACTCCCTTCTCTCCCATGCTGCCTGGCTTCAAGTACGGCAACTACAACGATGTGGCTCAGCTCGAGACTCTCGTCACCGAGAAGACTTGTGGTGTGATCGTCGAGCCCATCCAGGGTGAGGGAGGTATCAATGTGGCTACTCCGGAGTTCCTCGTCGCTCTGCGCAAGCGCTGTGACGAGGTTGGTGCCGTTTTGATTTTCGACGAGATCCAGTGCGGTCTCTCCCGGACCGGCTCCTTCTGGGCTCACGCCCACCCATCTCTCGCACCTGCTTCTGGCGAGGCAGCTCACCCCGACATCCTGACTTCTGCCAAGGCCCTGGGTAACGGTATCCCTATTGGTGCCACTATTGTCTCCGAGAAGACCGTGGCCAAACACATCAAGCCCGGTGACCACGGTACCACCTATGGTGGTAACCCCCTGGTGTGCCGTGTCGCCCACCACATTGTCAACCGTCTGGCGGACCCCGAGCTGCAGAAGTCTGTTGAGACCAAGGGAGACCTGCTTGTGTCTGGATTCAAGGATCTCCAGAAGAAGTACCCCAACGTCATCTCGGAGATCCGCGGACGCGGACTGATCCGTGGTGTCCAGCTCTCCCCGGAGTTTGTCTCCAAGGCCGGCGATTTGGTTGGTGCTGCCCGGGAGCGCGGCATGCTGATCATCACGGCAGGCGAGGGCTGCATCCGCTTCGTTCCTCCTTTGACCATTACCGAGGAGCAGATCAAGTCCGGCCTCAAGATTCTGGAGCAGGCTCTGGAAGCCGTGGTTGCTCAGGCTTAGGAGTGATGCGCGAGTGTCCCTAAAACGATCTACACTAAAAGTTAATTACCGTTTCTCGGTCTGTGCATATATATTCTACTTGTGATGTGACATGCTTTATGCTATTGGATTCCGGGACATTTATATCTGTGTTGTTTCTTTATCTTGATACCTGCTACATTGGTATATAGACGGCGGGATAGAATTTAGAATTGACGATGAATTACTGACCATCTCGGTCTTGAATACACGTATGAGGGTACCGATATTTATTAATCGCGTCCGAACAAGGGTTCTTCACCATGCGTGGTGGCCATGCCGCACCTAGCCCCTCACAAGCTAAGGGACGATGCCGACTGCAACCTCAAAAGGACATGCATGTTTCTCACCTACCCACACCGGACTAACCGCTGCTGGCCGGACCTTCCTTAGAAGGAACCACTTGTGACATGGATGTCTTCTCCCCAAGTCTGCATTCTACGCCCTTTTCTATTTAGCCTCAACACCTTGGCTTTGAGACAAGATCAACCTGACAGCTTCTGGACAACATTGCATGTCATATTCCTGTCGTTATTGCTTATGGAGATCGGCTCGCAGGCATCAAATCACTGACATTCCGGCATTTGATGCCTATCATCAATACATCGCACAAAGCACAACAGACTTCTGTGACTGCATCTAGTGCTCACTTTGAAAGCCTATCGTTCATTCACTCTACTTCTGATATATCATCTGAGGTGATTTAATCCATTCAAAGGTAATACTGCATAGGCTACTTAAACGTGACACAACTAAGATACATGGAGAACAAATGAGTCGCTGAAAGTAAACACATCCGCCCGGTCATCAACGCGCATTATCCAACACAACGAAGGAAGAAGCCGAACATATCATAATACAAACGATGCCATAACTTTGACTGACCACCATATACACCCAATTCTCTACAACCGATGCATCGCTCCATGAGAGCAGTACATTCCCGCCGCAACAGATCCCATATGGACGGGACGTCCATTGCTGCACATCGACCAGCTAGTACCCTCAGGGCCACAGATGATAGCCCCATCGACGCAAGGCTTGCCAGGGACGTACCGGGCACTCTCATCATCATCGGCACCAGCAACACTAGCATCGTTCTCAGAGTGGGCAACCGCCGTCGGGACTGTCGCAACGCGCGCAGCCTCGGTTCCAAACGACGAGGCAACCACCTTAGCAGACGAGGATGCCGCGGGTGTACTGCCAACAACCTGAGCAGCAATGTGGGAGGTAGACACAGTCGGCCTGGACGCGGTCGGCTTGGGGGTAGACACAGGGGCATCTTTGACAGAGCTAGAGCTAGAGCCGGAGCTACCACTTGAGCCACTGTTATCGGCATCCAGGAAGGGCGCATCACCAGTGCAAGTAAACCCGGTGTTGGTGCCATTGATACTGCCTTCAACCGAAGGTCCCGGCCGGGGGAAGTTGACATCATAGTTCTCAATAGTCGTGCACTGCCCGGGCCCATTAATATTGGCGATGAAGATCGGCGGCAGCGAACTAAATGCATCTCGCTTCCGCATCTCCTCCACGTCCCTCTTCTTACTATCACCGTCCCCAATAGTAACCTGCGCACAGTTCATATACATCTCCCGGTTCCCGACCTTATTGAACCACGTCCAAGTGAGCAGCGCATCGCCTGTCGGTGCATCTGACGGGATCGTGAACTCGTACGATTCCGTGAGCGGACAACCGCCCAGCATGGAGTGAATCACCTGGAAGGATTTCCCAGTGTCGTACGACAGCGAGATCTGGCATGACCCGCCGTCGTGGGTTGCGCTGCCTTGGAGGTCCATCTCGTAGGTGCCGCCGGGACTGTAGGTCGCTACGGACCGGAAGGGGTCGTTGGCATAGCCTTTGCAGGGGTAGTCACTGCCGCTGGATTCGAGGGGGTTCGTGTATGAGTAGTCTTTCTTGGATTCATCACCATTTGGGTCGAGCGGGCTGCGGATCGGGTAGGGGTTGGACATTTGAATGTGTGCTGAGACGCTTGAGGCCAGAAGGCCATAGGCCAGGAGAGCGGATTTCATTTTGATGTCTTCACCGTTCAATAGATATTTCAGAAATTCCTAATATCGTATATCCAGAGATATACAGGAGATAGTTATGTCTCGAGGTAGACAAAGTAAAGACAATTAAAGCATGATGAAGCAGATACAGAAAAAAATCCACCATCTTTATACCCCCAGCAGCGCCACTATCACCCCCCAACCAGCAACCAAACTCTACCCAAGGTATGCACACGGCCCACTGATAACTGCCCACCCATCCCCCGGGGTGACGATGCATTCCAACATATCCCCCAGGTGAATAAGCCTTGACATGACCGTCGTCGTACTCGCCGTCGTGGCTCATGGCAACAACAGCCAAACCTTTCTCCGATCCAACCCTCCCTATATCTTTCCCCATTGAAAACTTTTTTCAAGAATGAAGGGATCCCGCGTTTCACGTTTTCCGCGGGTTACTAGCTATCAACAGGGCAACAACAATAGGTATGTCCGGAATGCTGGCCCCGTCGGAACTGGCATTCCACACCGTCCCGCGCCCATTAGGAACGGATGGATGGATGGATGGATACCCTGTCAGCCGAAAATCTGTTGATGGGTGCTCTCTCTCCACTGGGAGTTTTCGTTAGTTGGATGGATATAGGGAATGTGATTGGGTAGGTTTTGATCAGGAGGCATCGTCAGTAGGGGTGGGTACCTGCGTGGCAACTGACAAGGTTTGCGAGGACAGGGAATTAGGAATGGGATGGGATGGGATTGTCTGCAGGGAGGTACTAGGTGGTCGTCCTAGGAACAAGCTTTGGTGGAGGGGGAGGGGATTAGTTAACGCTCTGTTCGAATTCTATACTATTATTAGAGGGGTAGATTCGATTTCATTTTGTTGATTGACTTTTTGGGGATGTGGTTCGGTATTTGGCTTAGAAAACAGTTACACGTCATGGCTTCGTTGCCTACAGTAATAGTAGTGAATTACCTTAAAAATATTCCTTTGGTATTATGTGATCTATTTACTTTTTGTTTCCCCATACACCCATGACCTAATAACGCTCATTCATAATTCATGCACGGCTGAGGGACTCGCCCTCCTCGGCCTTCTGGAGACCGTACTTCTTCAGACTGTTTGACGGAGAATGTTAGCTTATGTTTCTCTCTGAATACGAACAAATAAGTTGGGGTCATACCGGATAGTCTGGATGGCAACGAAACCGGTGGTGTCGGTGGGCTCAAAGTCGTCCAGGGAGTCCATGGAGGCCTCCTGCTCGGAGTAGAGCTTCTCGGTGCTGGAAGAGCGACCGAGGATGTAGACGTGGCCCTTGTAGCAGCGGAGACGGACCTCACCGTTGACGCGCTGTCAAGTTTGTTAGATAATCCCGTTGAGACATTTGGTTTTAGGGGCACTTACGCGCTGGGAGAACTTGAGACTGTTCTCGATGAACTCACGCTCAGGGCTGAAGTAGCTGTGGAAGGGTTAGAACTGATCTTGTTTAGACCAAGACTGTAGAGCACGTACTATCCGTTGTAGAGCTGGATAGACCAGTTGTGGGTGACGAACTGGTCACGCAGAGCGCGGACCTGGCCGTCCAGGACCAGACCCTCGAGGTCAAGGTGGGCATCGCGAAGGATGGTCATGGCAGGGGCTGCAACATGTTAGCAAGTCCTAGTGGGAAGTGCAGTGTGGAGTGCAAGACACATACAGTCGTAGCAGCCACGGCTCTTGAGACCGATGAAACGGTTCTCGACAATGTCAATACGGCCAACACCGTGGGTGAAACCGATCTTGTTGAGGGTGTAGAAAAGCTCAACGGGGTCGGTGTACTCCTTCTCGGGAGTGACAAGCTTGGTGGGAACACCCTGCTCGAAGTGGATGGTGAGGTCGGTGGGCTCGTTGGGAGCGGTCATAGGGTCGGCGGTCATGGTCCACATGTCAGCGGGGGGAGTGTGGTTGGGGTCCTCCAGGACACCTATCGACTGGTCAGTAAAATGATAGGTAAACTACTGCCAATGGTTCACTTACCAGCCTCGTAACTGCAGTGGGCGGAGTTGGCGTCTATACCAATAATTAGTACACTTGAAGCAATTACACGCAGAAGAGCAATTTGACGAACCCATGGACCAGGGCTTAGCCTATATCATACTGTATTAGCCTGTATTCGCGCAATCTGTATAGACACCACTCACCTTGGTGGAAGTAACGGGGATGCCGGTCTGGGCGGCGTAGTCAAGCAGATCGTTGCGACCAGCGAAACGCTTGAAGAACTTAGGGTCACGCCAGGGGGCAATGACCTTGATGGAGGGCTGAATGGCGTAGAAGGCAAGTTCGAAACGGACCTGGTCGTTACCCTTGCCGGTGGCACCGTGGGAGACGAACTGGCAGCCTTCACGCTGAGCAGCGCGCATCTGAGCGCGGGCAATCACGGGGCGAGCCAAGCTGGTACCGAGAAGGTAGCGACCCTCGTAGATGGCATTGCACTCTGCGATGTGAGATTAGCGGACTGATTGGGGCACGTAGCCGGACTAGCAGTCTTACGGATGGCGGGGAAGCAAAGCTCGGTGATGAATTCACGGCGCAAGTCCTCGATGATCATCTTCTTCGCACCGATCTTGAGAGCCTTGGCCTCAACAGCGGCCCAGTCCTCCTCCTGGCCGACATTGCCGAGGAAGCAGACGACATCGTAGCCCTCCTCTGCGAGCGATTGTTAGTCGAGTCGATCGAAATTCGACCGGAAATAGGGAGGGAAATGTACCGATGAGCCAGCGCAGAATGCAGCTGGTGTCAAGACCGCCTGCAATGGAAATTGTCGAGTTAGTGCACCGAGCCTTATCAAGACCGCAAGATTGCGGGGTCGGGCGGGCGAGAACATACCGGAGTAGGCCAGACAGACACGGGGCTTTTCAGAGGCCATTGTGATTGTGTGAAGGGAATTGGTAGGGGCAATCGGATAGACCGGCGGGAGATGAGGTTGTTGGGCAGCAAAGAAGGATGAAAGAAGAGACTTGGGAAAGAAAAAAGATCACTGGGGAAGATCAGTTTTCGCGATGGCTCATTCAGGCGGTCGATGCAGGTCGTTGACTCATCCGGAGTCGGAGCTAGTACCTTACGTAACAATTTTGTCGGCGAACCAATCAGCGACTGTGGATCGTCCTGCATCGATAGGGAAGTCATTATCGCTTCGTCCGATAAGTAATCTTCGTGAATAATGACTCACTGCAATACTCTGGGTAAGTATGCTTGCTGTTTGTCCTGGATAGCATTGGAGGAGACAATCACAATAGCTAGATAATATCTCCCTCCAGTTTCACACATTGACCAGAATCAGTACCTTTTACTATGCAATCAACAGGACAGAGGAGGAGATATCTCTGTAGTCACGTGCACCACTTCCCCGACGGCTAATACGAGCCCTCCGATACGGATCCGGGGAAGGGCCCCGGTTCCTGTAATGTGTGCACTCCCACGAAGTCAATCCTTTTTTATCATTGAGCGCTTATGATTAGTTAGTTGTGAGCTAAGAAAAATAGGAAAAATGGCATTGGAACATGCTGTCGGCTTATTTTGCGGTTCTACTGTAATTCAATTTTCCGTGTCAGAAAACGGATCGCAAGCACTCCGTGAAGTCACTAATTATATGTTCCTGGAATTGAAGCCAGGGTCAATTTGACCACCATCACTTTCAACTTGTACTAATGTACCAAGGAGACCATCTGACAGTGAAGCATCAGATGAACTCACACTTTTAGGGAACACTTGTTGTCTGTTTATATAAAATAAAAGTAGAGCTAGTAGCTACTACTTTTGTCAAGATGTCCCAACTATTTCAATATCCGCTTTCCAGTTCTGCATCTCCAGCTGGTATTACGATCAAATGAAGTATATACATTTGGTTAGCTGCTGGCGATTATGCTAGCTCATCCTCACTACTAGGTCGGTTTTGTCTCTAAACCCTAATATCCAAGCATCGATTGGGCGCAATACTAAAAGCGCTGAGAGCAGCCAAGGTTGTCTAGAGCTTCCTTGATACCCCACTACTGCAGCTAAGAATAGATAGTAGTACGAATAGCTTCCCCCAGGAAATTGGAGTGGCGCTATAGAAACTTCGCAGAACGAACGTCAATGGCCAGGTCATCTATCGATCGTTTTAGACGAGTGACGCCCTGCTTTCGCTGTAGTGTCAATGTTACGGATTGCTACCGAGAGGATTCAAGAACAAGTCTAAATGTATAATTATTGCTTGTTAGATAGCCGTAGGTGGAAAAATAAATCTCTGGACCAGGGCAATGAGTCACACTTGGCCGTAGAGACACTGCGGGCCCATATATCCCGCCACGAATGGTTACCGGACGATCGTTATAGCCTAGTTCGTCTAGAGTAACACCACCCAAATGAAACAGCCCATCTTTTCTCTTATGGACTAGAGAACATCCCAGTCTGTCACTTACACTTAATGCACTTCAAATTACCCAGATAGGGCCGAGACTCTTGTGTGTATGAGGTCATAGACACCTTCATGTCTAGAGACTTGTTTCAAATGATATGTACATAGCTCAGGCTTTGATTAAATTCAATAGATGTGCTGCATACATTAGTGCCATATAGTATAAGCTGACGCAATACACACTTCCATCTTTCTTTGGTTCTACAGCTCAGGAACCTTGAAAGTTCTGGATAGGAGACTTACGGAAAGCTTGATCAAGATGTGTGGAAGGCTGCTATGATGTTCCGATTCCCATGACCGACATACCCTTCAACATCTTATGATAATACAGATATCATAATTTATTTTCTACCTCCACTTTGATACCGTGCAATTTCCAGCTATGGTGTGAAGCATCTTCTGCTTATGCCGCGAGTTGGCAGTATTTATGTACATATTATGTAATCAGTACTAGTCCCGATTAGCTGAACCGACCGGACTTCTATCCCAAGTATTAACCTTCTTTCTTTGCTCCTCAAGCAGCATTCTCAAGATGGCGTATCTCAGATCTTCTGCGTTCAAGTCCCTGCTGAGGACTCGGGCATCCTCCCTATGCCCCCAGCAAAGGCGCTGGGCTCAAGTGCACGATGTCCGCTTCCTCGCCACACATCACGATCCCAACCAAGTGCTGGACAGGTACCGCTCGAAACTCAAGCAGAAAGCCCAAGCGTAAGTCGACCGCGACAACAGTTATGACCGACTCACTCACTCCTCTCACCATAGAGAGGGACATCAAGACATCGATTCTCTGAAGGAAGCCTACAAGGAGAAGATTGAAGAGTACCGTCATAAAGCAACAACTCCTCTCACTCCAGAGCCGCCCAAGTCCTCGCCCTCCCCGTCCTCGACCGGCCCTTCACCCCCTCCTCCTCCACCTACTCCCCAGGCTCGCGCCGCCTCCTCCGCCACATCGACTGGAATCAAACCTCTTGACTCTTTTATCGACGTCGAGAAAGTGCGCAGCCTTCCGCCCAAGGAAATCGAGGCCATCTGGCGTCTTCGTTTTGCCAACAACTCTCATTCGGTCTGCGCCGTAATTCCGGTAGAAACATACCAACGCATCGTCTCCGCCGCACGCCAGAACCCCCAATTTGTTCTTCCCCTACCTCGTACGCAGAGTGAAGCGCAGACCGCGGAGGAGAATGCAGAAGCCGCCAAGGGCGGTGCCGACATTCATTTTCTCCAATGGGGTTTCCACCCCCCAGCGTCCCCGACCGCTTCTTCCGCTGCTTCAGCCAACGACCACACTTCCACGATCATTTTCACAGCGTTGGCTTCGTATCAGCTGCATGGTTCGTATGCGCAGCCGCATACGACGGTCACGCATTATCTGGATCTGGCGGATGAGAAGGGTTTGGTTCTGATGAATGGTCAGGTGATGCCTGATTCCGGAGTATCTGCGACAGATGCCACCTGGCTGGTTAGCTGTGTTCAGCGGTTCTATGACTTTGGTGGTCAGGCGAATGGTCGGAAAGGCGAGCTTCTGCAGGCGTTCACTCGCGGTGACGTGCAGAACTTCAAGGTTGAGGACTTGATGGCAGAGGCGGAGAAGTTGTAAGGGTCCCACTAGTATTGTAGATAGATAGATTGTACGATATACGTTTTACCAATACGCAGCCTTTCCCGCGCGGGTACTTAGCTTGTAAATAGCCTCGAGGTTGATGAGTGTTGGGGGTTCAAGCTATCCATACCCCACAGCATTCCCGGGGAGATAGTGAGGAAGATGATGCAGCAGCTGATGTGAGAATGACTGGCTGTCGCCGGTCCGCCAACCAATCGGGCTTACAGTGGCTAGTAGGACTGCTACTACTTAGTGCTTAGTTCTTTCCTCTTCAAAGCCCCCCTTTTTTTTCACAGCCTTGTCCTTCTTAGTGTCCAATCAAATGGATGGTGTCATTTCACTTGCGCTCCGCATTGAGTCAGTAAATGCTTCGTCGCAGAGCCTTGTCTCCTAGACTGAGGCACTATATTAGTACTTCCATCTGCCCTGACTTCCCCATCTGATTTCAGTTTGGAGCGATAACCCTATAGAGCCCCAAATCTTACGAAAATATCTACTCATTCATCTTGACAGTTTCCACATAATTTTCATTGGACTTATCTTTACAGCCTCAACTGCTCGATCGGTTTCTAGACCATTCATTATGATGAGAGATGCAGTAAGCTTGGATGTATGGCATCTTATCTTTGAGCAATGCACCACTCAGGATCTGTCCCACCTCTGCTTGGTCGACAAGATCTTTAACTCGATCGCGACACCCGTTTTGTATCGATCTATCACCTTGGTGGCTTATAAGATTCCCTCTAGATCTGGTCGGTCGTCTAGATCTACAGAAGCGAAAACGGAACCAGAATTGCTTACAGGTCATTGGCGTCTATTATCTCGATTAGAAGATGCCAAACATCACACCTTACGAACTTGGATACAGGAAATCGATATTTCGAGTTTCAATAATTCGAGTTTCTCCTCTGCTAGGGCAGACGAGGACTTCCTAGAACGACTCCAGAGCAATGATTGTTTGGCCACACTGATTGCCCGTCTGCCAAATCTTCGACGGATCACCATCGGTTTTCCCAGTATTCAATCGACAACCTTGATTCGCACCATTTGTGAGCATAAAAGGAAGCCAGAACTTCTCCTGCTCAACCAGGATAGCCAAGAGAAAATCGCTAGCTTGGCGGAGCAGACTTTACCCCCTGTCACGACCCTCTCTGCATCAGTGAACCCGGCAAATGACCGGAGCGGGCCAAATCGGCAGATACCCACGTTACAAAGATTGTTTTTCAAATGCCCACATCTCCGGTCATTCTCGCTTACTGTCATGAGACAATATGGTGGTTGTGTTCCGATGATGTCGAGGTATCCTGTTATATGGAGTTTTCAGCTTACAGGCGAAGAAACATTCCCTCCACTCGAGCATCTTTCCTTTGACGGATACCTGATGGACGACCAGCAATGGAGGTATTGGCGTGATGGGCTTCAGTGGGACAGGTTGGTGTCACTAGCCATAGGACCGCAGAGTTGCGCTGGCTTGTTTCGACGTCTAGTTGGCTTTACCAGATCCCAAAAGATCCTTGAAGTGCCTGTCTGGCAAGGCGAAGGCGATGATGAGCGAGAGGAACTCGTCGAACTCCTCTCATCGTTTGATTCTTTGGAAACCTTAGTTCTAAAAGGGTACATGTGCCCGGTTGAGGTGATTTCCCGTCACAGTAACCTATCTACACTCTGTCTGCATGAAGAGGAATCTGCCTGCAAGGCGCGTCCGCGACAAGTCCTAACAGCGGAGGAGCTCAATCAGCTCGATGTCAACTGTCCCAAATTGAAGTCACTTCAAGTGGGAGTCAAGAGAGAGAACAATCAATGGGTAAGCCAATGTATCCTCTGTCTTATACTATCACATGAACCGAGATCTAACCACACCATAGCCCGACGACGTCTTCGACAAACTAGCAACCTGTTTCCACAACCTCAGGAGACTATCTATGCACTTTGAACTAGGCCTCCCCGACATACATAACCCCATCAAGCCTCTTATAAATTATGCCTCTGTAAGGAGCATCGGCCAGAATTACTTTGACCGTAGAAAGCAGGCGGGCATTGAAGTATTCGAGTCGTTTACCTTGACCGTCTGGACAGGTAAATACTTCCGTCGCTTCCCACAATGGCCACCACAGTACGCCGGTTTCGAGAAGAAATTCTCAGCGACTTACGAGATATCCTTGCCGAGTGATTCCTCCGGTGAAGTTCAAGTCCGCCATTTGGAGAATGAGCGATTAGACCTGATCAAGTCCAAGAAGATCAAAATCCATTCGTATGAAAGGTCGCAGCTTGCTAAACAGGTTGCTGCAGCCGTGGAAGGCCCAAAAGTCGAGGATTTCTCGGGGTGAGGAAGCCTACTTTCTTATCATGCTGGTCGTAGGGCTGGTGGCATTGCATAGCATATGATGATGATGATGTATATGTGTTTGTGCGGGTATTTGATGTCGCAGTGCATTTGTCGATATGGTACATCAGATATCTATTTTACAAGATGTTTCTATGTTCAAGTTAATGAACTTTCTTGACATACAATATCCACATGCATTATGTGAAGAAAAGATAACTATGCTTGAAATTATCCCCAATCACAGTAACTAGCACCGCATAAGAACCATCTCGCAGCCGATTTGTCCGTGACGGCTCCACGGATACGATGCTGTGATATTGTGTTGCATGTAGGTAAGGGTCTGATGCTTCTGTAGATTACATAGACTCAGTCTATGTTAATTTATACCATCGTATAGTATTCATATGTTATATAGCAAACATAACCTATTTACAAACCACGATCCCTCATACCCACACGATCCACCAACCCCCTAAACATGCCTCACGAAGCAAACGCCGTTTCAATCTCAAAGCTAACATCATTATTGAACGACGTCTTGGAATCAAACGTCTGCACACCACCATTGCTAGCAGCATACAGAACATTATCATAATGTCTGAAATACCTCGTCGGATAACTCCACGAGCGCAACGAAGTGCCCTCACCATTCAACGCCGCCTGGGGACAGAAAGTAGCATCCTCGTGGAACTGCTTCGTGCCATCATTGGCATTAAGCAACAACTCAAAGTCATAATGCCGGATATAGCTACCAGGGGTATCGACCGACTCGAACGAGAAGCACTGGCTGTTAGCCAAGCCAGTGACAACAGTCCAGCTAGCCTCCTCCTTCAGCGTCGTGGAACTATCATCATCCACAACCTGCGTGTTCACAGTAGTATCAGTATGCGCGATATACCTCGTTGTGTACCCTGGGGTCGTGACACGCAGCGAGACAACCTCTCCGGAGGTAAACGACGGACCGCTGACCAGCGAGCCGACGACGTATTTCGCAGCCACGATGTTCTCCTGGACGGAGTTCTCGGTATCATCCGACGGATATCCGGAGGTCATGACACCCTCGTAGAAGGTACCTTGGGCGCCGTTGCTGTTATCACCACCAATACCCAGGATGATAGCACCCTCCTTGCTCATGGGGTTATAGCCGGAGTAATCCGGACGGGCTCCGCTATAGTAAGTGGACAGGGAGCCAGAGGCAGCATTAGCGCCGCGAATAGCCCACTTATCAGCGCCGCCCTTAACCGCAGCAGTGACGAAGCGGTAAGAGATAGACGGATCACCGGAGTTATACCCCTCGTCGGCACCGGAGAAGAGGTTGTTCTCCATATCGACCATGATCCAGGGACCATCGCCGGCGCCGTATCCCCAGGTGGTGCTGTTACCGAGGTAGATGGCCTCCATGTGGCCGGCGCCGGTGTCGGTGCTGCTGGTTTCGGCATTGCCGTAGTCGAAGCAGCAGGCGTCGTTGTAGTGCGTGCCGTCCAGCACGGCGTACATGCCTTCGGGCTCGTCGCCGGTGGCGGTGCCCGTGGCTTCGTTGTTGCGGTAACCCGTGCCGGGGGACACGAAGACTCCGTAGGCCTTTTGGCCGTTCAGGGTGACGGGGGCGCCGATGGCGCTGGCCAGGTTGTCGTAGCCGTCGGTGTCCGGGCCGTCGAAGCCGCCTGGGGGTGCTTGGGTCAGGTGATTCCCGTTGCCGGATTGGTCGTAGATGATGGTGATCAGGCAGGTGGTGTTGGCGCAGAAGGTGTCTTGGGCGGAGGCGTCGGCGACACCGCCGGCTGTGAGTGGGGAGATGGTGGTGGTGGTGTCATCGGAGCCGCGCTGGAGCTGGTAGAGGGCGCCGCTGAAGGAGCTGTACAGGGCGCGGGTGGTGCTGTGTGCGGCTACGCAGGGAGTGTCACCGGCTTCGTAGATGTCACAGGGGCCGGCGCTGACGGTGGCGGCTAGCCCTAGGGCGAGCAGGTTTCGGCGGGAGAACATGGTGATGGATGGATTACAGCCTGCTCAGGAAGGTCTGGGCTAGGAGAGGACTCAGACAGTAGGATAGGCCCGCTTGGGGAAAGAAGTCATGCTACTAGGGTGAGAAGGGGGGCTTATTTATATTCTTCACTGCGGTGCAGTGCCCATGCATGGAGTGCATGATATGGGAAGTCTAATTACATGTGTGGCTTCAGGGGTCAGGGATTTTCCTCCAATATTGGGACATCCTGTATACATTGTCAAGTAACCGGTCGGTTAAAAGGCTCACTATCGAGGCAGCAGGAATGCGTTGTTCCACCTGATGTCAAGCGACGACGGCATTCCGGCGGACGTGCAGGGCGTCGTGGAGTATGTACCCCGCAGGATGGGGTGATTTAGTTGATTTAGTTCCTGAAGGCTTGACAAGGGCATTGTCCGTGCCTAGGGCTAATGCCAGTGCCGCCGGGGTTTTGCCCGGAGGGGATGCGGGGGATGAGACTAAACTGTGTTCCCGCGCTCATCACGGTTCGTCACGTTTCTTCAGGGACCTGTTCCTCCTGGATCAAGCCTCGGTAGTTGTGGAGGGGTTGGAGGTGCCGCATTCCTGTGGAAGTTAGTTTTGCTCAGGGTTGGTGAATGCTTATCCGGAGGCAGTGTATGTTTTTGAGTGATGGGCCAGTTTTGGAAGCTATAATTTGGATGCCATTACCCCGGATTATGAGAAATGGTTACCCCTGAAAAGATGTATGCTGATCGGAACGAACTCCGCTTTGCAATAAGTATAGTCGAAATAGCATAACGTAGACAAAACAACCGACCCGTGTACGTCGTACGATGTTTACTTCTGGGAAAGTGGATGGCTTTAACCGGTGCAGTGAGGGGAACCTATGTTCTTCACACCATGTGGTCATGCTACTTGAACTCTATCAGGATACTATCCGGTCTTCTCTTTAAATTAAAGCTGTGAATGGCTGCGTTCGAATGTCTAGCTTACCGGACCCACTAAGCACAGCCCAAAGGAGATGCCGTCGGTTATATCATGATGCAGAAACAGCCCTGCCGTCTATTGACTTCCCGAGCGTCTTTGAGAGACAAGGACAATTACCGGACACCTTCCGAGACAGTCAATGACATAACTCTATGGATCAGCTTATATGGCCAGAATAGACATGCTCTGAACATTCTAAAAGGGGAGATTGGATGCCAAGCGGCCCTCCGCATCGTCTGTGACCCTCGGCAGGCTCGGGCCGCCCGGGTTCCTGGGCATGTTGAACCCAAATCAAGCAGCTGACCTGGTTTGCTTGGCGAGGAGACATTGCGTGAATTTTATTATCTGCACTGCTTCTAAGAAGCTTATGGTGTAATAGTCTGCCCCTCTAGCACTAATATTGACTGTCTGCTCGCCTCAAACCTTCCACAAGGGCATTCATATTTGGTGGACGACCCAAGAACCTCTCCAGCATCTGAAACAAATCTTGCTGGCCGCCACCGTTTTGCAGAATCTCGCGACGGTACTTCTCCCACTTGTCCTTCTGGAATGGGCCTTCAGCAAAGACAGAAAGAAAGACGTCCTGGGCCATTGCCGTGCAGCTTTAAGAGGATTAGTCTTCATGAGTGGTGAAATATAAATAGAGCAAGTGGTCTGAATGGGAGAGGAACATACATGAGATAAGCATAGTAGCAGACATCATAGCCCGCTGTCAGATGACTGAACGTGCCAAATGCATAGCCGTCTCGGCACTCGGAGAAGTCCATACTTTCAACCTCCTCACGGAGGTCATACCAGAGCTTCTGAACATCCAGATCTGAAATATCTGCATCAGTCTTGAGACTATGGATTTGCAAGTCGAAGATGGAGATTGACCTGCTCAAGTCAGATTAATAATTTCCAGAGACATGAAGCAGAAGCATACAGCTGGTATAAATGATAAAGCCCTCGGTTTAGGTAACGGTGCTTGATAAGACGGTCAACTAGATCCACAGGAATTTTCTTTGGCGGATGCGGCAAGTTAGGATGTTGCCTGTGCCACTCAACCAGGTAACTATTCTCTAGCGTAGTGTAGTGGCAGCTGAGGCCCTGCAGAACCTCTTTCATCCAGCACCAGTTCTCGAGCATCATACTAGGCATCTCTCCGAAGTCAGGGGGAAGCCGATAGCCATGAAAACGGACGTATTTTGTTCGTGCAAGGAGATCGTGGATTCCATGACCCATTTCTGTGTCTTAAATTAGTATATAGTCAAGGTTGTCTGATTTAGGCTTACCGTGGAAGAGGGTTACCACTTGATGGTGCTTGAGCAATGCACAACCGGTAGGGGTAGGAGTCGGGAAAGAGCACATGAGGATTGTGGCAGGGTATTGCCGACTGCCATCTGGGCGGAGATAACCCTGATGCTCTCTGTTAGTCTGGATCAAGCACGGTGTCACTAATGTAAAGGATGGTGCATACACATTGGAGATTCACGCTTTGGTTACCGCGATATTTGTTTTCTCTCCATAGCAAATCGAAGTAGAGATAGCCAACAAACTGCTTATCGGGCGTACTCTCCCAGACAGAGAATACCCGGACGGACTCATGCCAAAGAGACTCCTTCTCGGCTTCGACAGGTTCGAACTGGAGACCCAGAACAGAGGCAAAAATACCCAGCATTCCTATGGCTGTTTGTTCGAGGGGATAGAACTCGGATAGCTGCAGCTGGTCAACCGCAACTTCCTCTTCTACTAACCGCATGTAATATGGTTTATCCCACGGAGGAAATCCCACACCATCTGTGTCATGCTTGTCTCCCAGATCCTTTACTCTCCTTTGCTGCAAGACTGCAATTTCATCTTTGCCGCGGGCGCACAGTGTGTCCTTGAGGTTGTTGAGAAACCCACCTAGCCATTCCGGATCCTTTACCATACGTTGCTGTAGCCGGTACTCGGCGTGGGTGTAATGATGCAATTGATGGGCTCGTCGAGCCCGTCGACGGATAATCTCCTCAAATAAAGACTGATTGTCCCTAAGCTTCTGGTTATCGGCCAAAAACATCTTCTTTCGCGTGCCAGGGCGACGAGCGTAGGTTAACACTGCCAGTGTACCTCCATTCGCAAAGGGCACAAATAGCTTTTCGTTTTCTTGCTCACCATCCGACTTCCACTTCCCCAACTCACTCACTGGTACTCCCTCCAACTCGTTCCG